AAGACTGCTATCATGTCCCCCCTCGTCCTTCTCTTCATTAAACTAGACAGACCCAATTCCAACAGCCGTTCCTTATATGCTTTAGCCTCCAGTCCCGATCATCTTTGTTGCTCTTCTCTGTACTCTTTTTAGAGTCTCAGCATCTTTTTTACATCGTGGTGACCAAAACTGGATGCAGTATTCCAAGTGTGGCCTTACCAAGGCATTGTAAAGTGGTATTAATACTTCACGTGATCTTGATTCTATCCCTGTTAATGTAGCCTAGCACTGTGTTGGCCTTTTTGGCAGCTGCAGCACAATTATGGGATTCTTCTCCATTATTTCATATATATTTTCCTGTCGAGAAAGACGGGCAGATGTGAAAGTTTAAACCAGCCTCCCCTATTAACTGTAACTCGCTTTCTCCAGCCAGACAAGCCTGGTCCACGGGAGAGACCCCTGACTATGAGCTGCAAGACTCTCTGACCAAGTCAGTTCTCTCTTCTCTTTCTCCCTCCCCACCTCTCAGGGGTCGCTCCCTCCAGGAAAGCTTCATCAAGCTGGTGGAAGCCTGCAATGACCCTTCTCCTCACATGGACCGCTGGCTGAGCAGGCTGGAAGCCTCCAAGTGGTTGTCCCACGTCAAGGAAGCCTTGAATGCTGCCTGCCTGGCAGCCCAGTGCCTGGAAAGGTAGCGTTGCATTTGGTCCTTCCCCCGGAAAGGCTCTGGAGAGGAGCCCCCAGGAGACGCTGTTGGGACACGTCTCCTCTGCACCCCAACTTTTCAGGATGGGCTAATGTCAGGGAGGAGGTTGTGTTACCAGAAACCTGTTGTGTCTTGCTCCAGAGAGGAGGCTTGTGTCCTGGTGCACGGAGCCGAAGGGAAGGACGCCACCTTGTTGGTGACGGCTCTTGCCCAAGTTATCCTGGATCCAGCCTGCAGGACGTTGGCCGGCTTCCAGGGACTGCTGGAACGGGAATGGATACAGGTACTAACTAGCGGGAGGCAGTTCAAAGGGGATTGGCATGCTGGCTGGGGAATTCTGGGAAATGAAGTCCACGCTTCTTAAAATTGCCCTAGCTGGAAAACAAGAAAGCGTACCTTGTTCTTTTTTTTATCTCAATCGTTCCTGGTAGTAATACAGATAGAATTTCAAAATTGGAAGCCATTGTAATTCTTTCTAAGCACAGGCATGGGGTATTTATGTTATACATTACTCATCAGATTCTAGTCTGATGTGTGCTGCAGATGCCAAAAAGGCCAACACAGTGCTGGGCTGCATTAACAGAGGGATAGAATCAAGATCACGTGAAGTATTAATACCACTTTACAAGGCCTTGGTAAGGCCACACTTGGAATACTGCATCCAGTTTTGGTCACCACGATGTAAAAAAGATGTTGAGACTCTAGAAAGAGTACAGAGGAGAGCAACAAAGATGATCAGGGGACTGGAGGCTAAAACATATGAGGAACGGCTGCTGGAATTGGGTATGTCTAGTTTAACGAAGAGAAGGACGAGGGGGGACACGATATCAGTCTTCCAACATCTCAGGAGCTGCCACAAAGAAGAGGGAGTCAAGCTATTCTCCAAAGCAGCTGAAGGCAGGACAAGAAGCAACGGATGGAAACTAGTCAAGGAGAGAAGCAACGTAGAACTAAGGAGAAACTTCCTGATAGTTAGAACAATTAACCAGTGGAACAACCTGCCTCCAGAAGCGGTGAATGCTCCAACACTGGAAGTTTTTAAGAAGAGACTGGACAGCCGTTTGTCCGAAATGGTACAGGGTTTCCTGCCTGAGCAGGGGGTTGGACTAGATGACCTCCAAGGTCCCTTCCAACTTTATGATTATCATTATCATGTGTACCTTTGATCATAAGGGGGAAGAGTTTAATTCTTACCAATATTTATGGGGTTCTTTGATTGACTTCGTTGAGCTTTGATTCTTGTTGGAAGCACTGTCTCCTATCCTTCCCTCTCCCTGGATGTTACTTTTCTGCTTCTAGCTGCCAAACTTTTTTGCTTTTCCAGGCCGGGCACCCCTTCCAGCTCCGCTGCGCCCACTCTGCCTACGCGCACGCCCGGCTCAAGCAGGAGGCGCCCACCTTTCTCCTCTTCCTCGACTGCGTCTGGCAACTGGGGCGCCAGTTCCCCTTCTCGCTGGTGTTCAATGAGCATCTCCTGCTGGCACTCTTTGAGCATTGCTACGCCTCTCCCTATGGCACCTTCTTGGGCAACAACGAGAAAGAAAGGTAAAGCAAGAGCAGGCCACGGAGGAGCAGAGCAGGGTTGAGGGTGCCAGCAGCCTAGGAGAGCAGGGTACACTAAGATTATTCAAAGACTCCCACCGAGGGCTGGGAATTTTCTGCCTCCAGCCTTGAAAGACACTGAAGGATCATCAAAGCGGGAGGATTGGTTCCAACTACTTTTATGAGTGCTGTTGTAACGTTGAAGGGTTGCTAAACAAATGGCTGCAAGTTGAGGAGTACCTAGAATTCTTTCATGCTTTTACATCTCCAACAACCCCTGTTTGAATCATGTTGTGCCCTCAAGAGGGGAGAGACACCTCGAAGCTACAAGAAAGGAACAGAGTCTAAAAATGTTAGATTGTGTTTGCTTCTGTCAAGTCTTCCCCAAACATCCCACTGCAATTTTTGGGAAGCATCTGTTCCCCTGTATCGGATTAAAGTTGTGTTCCTTCCCTAACATGGCGGGCTCCTGGTTGGATGTGGTGATCGGAAAGCTGGCTAGGGACTTCTGGGAACTGAAGTGCACACATCTTCAAGTTGCCCAGGCTGAGAAACAGCGCTCCAGGCCCACCCGAGGAGGGACTAAAATACTACTGACTTCCCTGCAGGAGGTTGTGTGACGTGAGGGGGAAGACCCACTGCCTCTGGCCCTGGATAAACCGTGTGGAGAAGTACCTGAATCCCCTTTACCTGTACAACCCACTAGTCATTTGGCCCTCCGTGGAGCCACAGAGTGTGGTGCTCTGGCAAGGTAAATTCCTTTTATCATGTGAAGTACAAACTCCCACTTTCGAACAAAGCACTCACGTGCCAGCAACTGTAATTTGGTTGAAATTAAGCCTTCCAGATTTCAGAGTTTCATAGGCCAACCTTGGTGATAAGTCTGGAAGTTGGACTCCTGGCAACGGGACTTATTTTCTTGTTGGTTTGAAATATTGCGCTCTCCATCAGTCAGAGCATTGTTGGCACTTTAGCAGCGAAACCAACAAGAAAATAAGTCTTACCTTTACCTGGATGACTAAGAATCTTCGTTATGCTTTGCTCGAGTTGATACAATTCCACAGATTTCAATGATATAGAAATCACTTGGGAGGGCTGGAAGAGATCTGCACAGCAGAATTTTGTACAGGGATCCCTGTGTCAATAGGGATTAGAAAATTTGTTATTAAGCAAGACATCGTGTGATCACAATTTGTGGCCTTCCCTGCTGGCTCCCCCGCTAACTCTGTTAGTCAGAAGCTGTCTGGGAAGGTCACAGGTGGCGATTACATGATCCCAGAACACTGCAGCTATCATAAATATATGCCAGTTGCCAAGCACCCAAACCACGATTATGCGATTGCAGGAATACAAAACCAAATTGTGATTATGTGACTGCAGTGTCACAATATTCCTCAGTGCAAAAACCAGTCGTAACTTTTTCCAACACCTTCGTAACTTCAAATGTCACCAAGTGAATGGGTATAAGTCAAGGCCTACCTGTAATACAGCCTTACTAAAACCTAACTGTTTCAAAAAATTTCCACTGTCTGAATATCGGCAAATTTCCAAATCACATCTGATGAATAGAAACTAAAACCTCGCCCACCTATCTGCTTTGCTGCTCATTTCCTTTATGTGCTTTTAAGATATAGATGTAAGAAACAAGCCTATCAATTTTTCTGAATCCTGGATCTTCAGAGGACTAAAGTTCTCTACATCCAGATTTGAGAGTGAGAATTTCAATCTACTGCTAAATATATTTGCAAACTTGCAGATTGGAAGGATATCTAAATACTCTGAGCACCTTAAATGTAAAAGCAGGATGTGCCTCTTCCATTAGCAGCCCCGGTTTTTCTGGGGTTATTATGAAAGACGTAGCTGTCCCCCTAGATGTTGGGGTTGGAAGCTAAGTGAGCCTATTGGCTAATGTTCTTTATAAAGAGTTGCTGCAAAGATATAAAAGATGACTGTTTGTCCTCGTGAAAGAGATGGATAACTGGCTATTATTCTCTATGCAGGTTTATTTCTCCGCTGGGTCCGTTCGTCCCAACATCTTGATGAAGCTTGGGCAGAAATTCAGCAAATAGCCACAAATAGCCAAACCTACTCACAACAGTTGCACAGAGCAATGTGAAAGTAGACTGCAACACCCCTTTTTAGATGAAGGAATCAAAGAATTAGCTGGTAAAGGTCACCCCAAAAGAGGAGAGCTGAAAACAGAGGGAGAATGCTGACACAGAGTCACCAAGGAGAGAAATGAGCTCTTCATCTGTGACACAGAGAACTCTGCGAACATGTAGATGTATTTCCCAGACCTATTTTTTTTAACTATTACAAATAAAATACAGCTCTTTAAATCCACGTTTCAGATCAAAGAAATCCAGAACACAAGATCAATCTTCCTGGTAACGAGTCATCTGAATGCTCATATGTAGCCACCCCAACTTGGAGCCAATAACTACGTTTAGACAATATGGCTAAGCTTTTAAAATGTTAATATTATTCAAACCTAAACCAGTGCTGGATGGGGAATTCTGGGCATTGAAGTCTACACAATCTAAAGTTGCTAAGGTTGAAAAATGCTGCTCTACTCCAATAAACTGATCCAATAACCTCACAATATATTGTAAAACCTGGGGTATGTCTAACCTGGGCTTTACTTAACAGAACTGTCAATATGGAAACCCCTAATGATTATAACACTGAATCCTGAAGCCAACAAATCATACACACGATGGAAATAGTAATAGTAAATCTACTTGTACCTAGCTAACACATTCATACATATTTCTTTTCATTTTTGTAAAGGAAGAATTTATTATCTCTGTCTCATGTTATAAATATGACAACTGGAGCTGTTCCAAGAATGTACAAGTAAAGAGATTCTCCCACAGAGAACCAGCAGCTCCAGCAGATCACCTTTTGCTTCTTGCCCTTAAGCATTGCTCAAGACAAGCAAGATCTCCGTCCTGATGGAACTGCAAAGACCAACGAAGCATCGGAGGACAAGGAAGGAGCACTCAAGCTTCAAACTCAAATTCAAAGTATTGGGGGTCAAAGTAATGGATGCGGACGTAGCCATCCTCTCCGCCACTGCTGTAACTAGAAGCAGAAGAAAAAGAGTGAAATTCCCGGTGCTCTTAGTCCTCGTCTTGATGAAACCAAAGAGCCAGAAATGTCTTATGATTCTTACCTCTTCCCATCAGGGTGGAAAGCGACGCTGTTAATTGGCCCAAAATGGCCTTTGATTCTTCCAAATTCTTCCTCAACGCCCAGGTGGAAAAACCTAGAACCGTTAAGTAAGATGCAAAGAGTTAACCACCATTAGGAAGGAATGCTGGGCAGCTCTTCAGTGTTAACTTGGTCATGAGGGGTTGGCAGTTGGGTTTCATGGGAACGCAACAGAGGAGGGTGAATCATTGCCACATCCCTCATCACCAGAACTAAACGAGCTCACCTGGCCTCAAACTTTCCAATTCTGGTGGAGGTGGTTGTCACATCCATGGCTTCCTGTCCACCGCCCAACACCACCTGCCAGAATTAAAATAAAAGGATGAGACCCGTTCCTTGGGTTAGGAGCAGATTTACCAACGGATCCGTTTACTGCCATGGCTTCAGATTTGGTTGTCCTACTTGGTTACTCATAAGAAAACTGACCATGTTTTGATATTCCATGCCAACTTGAAGAAAGGCATAAACACTCTAAATTTTAGACCATTTGGGAGAACCCAAACTGTATAGATATAGGACTTCTAGCTAGGAAAACATTGCTCGTGTGCCAAGTTTAGAGCTCTGCCACTTGATCTCTCAATATTTTCCCATTTCCTGTACAGCAATCAAGCAGGGCCCAGAAGCTGTCAAGAAACAAAGCATCCAGAAGCTAACAGACACTTTCATCTCACAATTTTACCTTTGTAAAGGACCCGCACAAACCACACAACTCTCATCCTAGGAGATGTCACAAAAAAAGTTAATGGGGAAAAACATACGTGGTCAAAGATGGGGGAAAGCGCTGCGGAGTTCACCGGCCGTTCTGTTCGGAAAGTCTTTAGGTGGTCAAGATTTGTGGAATCAAAGAGCTGCAAGAGAAATAGATCCATCAGGGCTTTGGGGGGACTTCCCCAGTATCATCTGGAAAGGCCAATGACAACATCAGTCCCAAGCAACACAGCAGTCACTTCCCAGTCCTGTGGACAACAATTCTCCCAACAAAACTGTGCTTGGAAGCTGAGGAGGGCGACTAGAATAAGCCCGGGAAAATCAAAAACAGAAACAAAACCAAACTGAGTTCTGGTGAGAGCTGGAAAAACTTCCTGGGACCGCTAATTTGTGTGCCGATGCTTATATTTACGATTTGTAGGAAGGATGCCAAAAAGAACATTTAAAAAAAAATGCCAGTATGGCCACGAATGTTTTAGAGAAAGTTTAAGAAGTTGTCTCCAGCCAAGAGGCCCATCCTCAATTGGCCAGCTGAGCCCAAACAACCCCTCTGAAATTTGAGTCACAAAAGGACGGCTCTTGGGGGCCAGATTTTATGGCCCTTCCACCTCTCCTTCCCTCTCCACACCTGCAGAGTTGCTCAGTTTAGGTGTCAGCAAAGGAAGGTTAGATATTAATGAAAATTGCCACCAAAGAGGGAAATAATGATCTGATTGAGGTTAAAATGTTATTCTCTCAAAACTTGCAAAAGGGATAGGAAGAGCTAGCTTGTCCAAGCAGCCTCTCTTCCTGGGGTTAATTGAAAAATGCAGGTCAGTCACAGGACCCTTTGCCAGCAAGCAGCAGCAGCAGCAGCAGCAGCAGAGACTCACCTTGGCAGTGTTATCCTTGGAGGCAGTGACGAACATTGTCACGTCTCTGGAAGTCTGGATGTCATTGATCTGTTTTGTATGCTCTTTCATGTTCATGAGGACCTCTCCTGACTGGAAGAGAAGAAAGTGAGCACAGGAGAGAAGGAAAAGCCTTGCTACTTTACTCCAAGCTGGCTCAGGAATTCTGGGAGTTGAAGTCCACAAGTCATAAAAGGGCCAAAGTTGCCGACCTGTGGTCTAGTGGTTAAGGCAGCATAGCTGACTCAGGAATTCTGGGAGTTGAAGTCCACGAGTCATAAAAGAGCCGAGGTTGCCTACCCCTGGTCTAGTGGTTAAGGCAGCAGGCTAGAAACCAAGAGATTGTTGAATTCTAGTCCCACCTTAGCCATGAAAGCTGGCAGGGTAACTTTCAGCCAGTCACTCTCCCTCAACCCAATCATCTCACAGGGTGGTTTTGTGGGAAAAATAGGAGGAAGGAGTATTAGAAATGTTCACCGCCTTTTATAAAAATAAAGGTGGGATATAAAATAAGTATGAATGTATGAGTATGATACAATAATAACGTTGCATACAGATTAAGTAGTTGATTGTATTATTTCAGTCCTTCTTATAACTATCAGTCAGCAAGAACCTCCAAAAGGGATGGTCTGAGGTCACATGAAAGCACCACCTTGATGCTAAATTAAGCAGGGCAATAATAAAGCCCTGAGAAGTCTAGCTTCAGTCCTTGAATCCCTCATAATTAGACTATGTGATGTGGTTTATTTAAAAACTACCAGAAGGCACAGCTGCTCCAGAATACTATGGCACAAAAAGTAATGGGAAGGTTTCGGTATACGCATGTGACTGCACAAGTTGCACTGGTTACCAATACATTTCAACAGCAGAGTTAAACAGCCATCACCTAGAACACCTTTTATGGCACAGAGCAAGAGACCACCCATCTGCTACGGTTTCTGTCTCTCTCTTAAGACTGGATAGAGTGGGTGAACTTTAGGTCCCCTTGATCCAAGAATGTCATCTATTGCGACCCAAAGAGCATGTTTCCTCTGTTGTGGTGGCTGCCTTCTGGAATGATACCCCACAAAGAGTCATTTGGCTATGGCCCTGTTGATGTTCCACAAGTTAAACATGTATCGGCCTCCCAGGCTTTGGGGTAGGGTGACCATGATGTTCCACTTTTTTTGTATTTGATGTTTTGTTGTTGTTAATTGCGACGTCGTGTCCGACCCATCGCGACCCCATGGACAATGTTCCTCCAGGCCTTCCTGTCCTCTACCATCTTCTGGAGTCCATTTAAGCTCACGCCTGCTGCTTCAGTGACTCCATCCAGCCACCTCCTTCTCTGTCGTCCCCTTCTTCTATTGCCCTCAATCTTTCCTAGCATTAGGCCCTTCTCCAGTGAATCCTTCCTTCTCATTAGATGTTAGAGTTAAGTAAACTGGAACCTTCTAAACACACTGACAAAAACATGATAGACAAATTCGGATCTGCCCAGCTGAGGTTGGTTGCCTTCTCGATGGCACACAAATACTCTTTATGAATCCATACCAACCTTTGCACTGAACTGGTTCAACTCCCCATTCTCATGCCCAACAATGATGAATTCTCCAAGGGGACCCCAAACCGCACTGGTAATTTTGGACTCGCTGCAGGGGATCTTCATGTATGGTTCATTGTCCTCTGAAGATAAAAGGAAACAAGGTACAAGCGAAGTTGGTAAACAACAACTTTTGAGGAAGGACCATTTCCCCACCTTAACTTTTGAGTCTAACCTACACCTGAAGGTCTCACCAAGCTGGCTGGAGTCTCGAAGGTCGAAGAAGCTCACAAAACATTGGTAGCCCATTTGCTTATCTGTGGAAAACATGATGATATTCCCTCCAAAGTCAAAGCCACATGTCCTCACAGCGGAGTTGGTATTGACTAAAGCAAGTTGCTTTCCTAAAGAGGGGATGAAACACAGACAGTAAATTCAAGCGGAGAGACCCACTGCTCCCTCAAAGTCAGAATTATCTCCTCCAGGGGTCTCTAAAGCTTCAGGTCTATGGAAAGTGTCTACGCACAACTTACATAACCTAGTCAGCTACAGACATAAGAGATGCATGCACACAACTTCCAAAATATTAACTTAGGGTTACTTTTTAGTGGCTGAGCATGTAGTGCAACCCCAGCTTGTTTGACTTCATTTATGGTTCATGGATTATGAGACTCCTGGAAATGGCTTTTAATCCTGTAATCAGACTGAAATGTGTCAGGTGTAATTTTGACACGAGTTTCCAGATACAAATTCTGTATCAGTACTATCCTCCCTCCTAACATTACATTTTTCACCCTGCATAATCAGAACATTCTTCCTCGTGCGTTGAAGTTTACCTGTCTCACAGTCCCAGAGCCGACAAGAGTTGTCTGCTGAGCCGGTCAAGACATGTTTGGTGTCCCCTGAGAGAGAGCAGTCAAGGAGCCACACAAAATAAATAATGAGCAGCAGCAGGAAACAGAAATGAATTATGGCATGGTTTCAAAAGATAAAGCCTGTGAATTAAATACACATACACCACTAAAACTTTGTAACTGGGCAAAACAGTGTAGTGCAGAGCAAAACCTTTTCAACCAAGGAACCTCAAATGGATTAACTTACAGAAAGCATCCAAAAGCCGAACTCATGATTCCCGTGAAACTGACCTTTGGTAAATTATGTTATGACAAACAGTATCGTAAAGCATTTTATGACAGAATGCAAAATAAAATAAAATATTTCCTGTGATCAACTACTGTCATTTGATTGTGCTATACAATTCAACATGGGTTACTTGCAAGACAGATAAATATCTGAATATATTCTTGATTTTTTAAAAAACTTCTCAATACATCACAAACTCTACCGTTGTTGAAGGCATTAAAGAATCTGGTAGGAAAATATCTCTGAAACAATAACACAATGATTCATGGGTTACTGAGTGTGTAAGAGAGAGAGAGAGAGAGAGAAAGGGGGAGAGAGAAAGAGACCTCTCTACTCTCGTTTACTGAAGACAAGAGGATCATCTCCAATATATACATGAGCTATTCTCAGGCGACCTTGAAAAAATGTGATTTTGTACACTACAACCAAAGGATACAATCAGCATCCACACACCAGACTGCACCAGTGTGGCCAGTGTATGTGCCAAGTCTCTCACCATTGACAGAGTACCAAACATTAACAATCTGATAAAAGAAAAATACAACCATAATATCAAAATTAGTACATAATAATCATTCTCTGATTAAATTGAACCATTTATTAGTCAATAACTTATAGACAAGATAAATTGAGTTGAAATTGAGTATATGACACACTGAGTAAAATTAGAAAGTAGTAAGAGATCAATTAATGATGAATGAAGGAGAATCATTAATACAACTAAATTCATTGACAAACAGGTTTCACAAACTCTTGATTATTAACTCTTGGATTATTACAGGTTGAGAAGAATATTGTGAACAAACCATTCTGACTAGATTTTAACAGACTACGATGACCAATATTCACTGAAATAAAACCAAACCAACAAAACTTTTAACTGTGGCTGACACACTCACCCTACAAACACCCTACAAACACCACATATTTTTTAAATTTTCTTTCAAAGACAGTCACATGGTCAATGCACCAATTGCACCTTTCTTTAGGGTGAAAAAGATTTAAAAATCAGGGAGCCCAAGTTTCATGAAAGGCAAAAGATACAGATCCATTGTTGGCATATAGATGCAACTGATTTTGAAAAAAAAAATGTCTATTTTTCTTCCTTCCATTTTTCTCTCCTATCTATTAGGATAGTAGGAAGAGATATTCTGTTAGGCTAACTGGGAGAAAAAACCACAAGTAAACTAAGGTAACCAATTCAATGATAACATACCGGATCTTTTGCTACTGTGAAGAGCAAATCGCCTTCCCGATTATACTTGATCTGAGTAATTGACCTCTCATGGCCTTGCAACAAAATAGGTTTCTGTAAAGAGAAATTTTTAAACAAGATGTTAACACTGCTTACTTGCCAATGACAATGTTAGAAAATATCCCTGCCATTTATAATGCTGCAGCTGCTAGTCAGCTGTAGAAAGATGGATAAAATAATAACGTGTTAAGGAACATAAAGTAAGGATTTAAATTCCAAGTGTTGGTTTTAAAGAGTGAAACAGATGACAATTATATTTCTTCTTATAAGAAAATAATAAAGAAATAAAATGAAAAGAAGGCCAAATTTAAAGATGTACTGGTTTTGTTTTGTTTTTAACTACCCTGCAATCTTTTGCATTCTGGGGTGGAGTAGGGTGACTGAATGGAGCTGAGCGGTTACTAGCCGGATGCCCTAACTGATGCCTATCTGGTATTTGCAGTATTTTCTCTTTTTGCCCAGAGAGAGAAAAATATCTGCTACCTAGGATCAAACTTGCCTGAGTTCCACCTCCAGGCCACCAGCCACTCTAAAGACGTACTATAATAGCTTAACTTTATTTATTTATTTATTTTGATGTTATAGTCTCAATTTGTAATCATGTTTTTCTCATCCAGTCACTGTACAGTCTCTTAATGTTGTCTACTTTTACAGCACAGGTTATTGTAAGAGTTTGACATCCATTCACATATTAGATAATGCAAATAGCAAAACAGCCGTAGCTCTCATCACCACCTATTCTCAAAGCAGCTTTCAATTTATTTATTTATTTTTAAAAAGTTTTAGTGATTTCCTAATTTTACATTTTAAGTATTTAAAACGCAACATGGCGGCTGGGTTAACCGATCATTCGATAACATACAAATATCTTTAACAGAAATCTCAAAGTACCATATTAAATTTATTTATTTCGAGCGTGAAGATGTGTAGATAGATGCTGGGGCAGGTGAGAAAAGATGAGATCGTTCAAGTTTAAAAGAAAAGCTAAGCATCCCTTAAGGCAGTGTTTCTCAACCTTGTCAATTTTAAGGCATGTGGACTTCAACTCCCAGAATTCCACAGCCAGCATTGCTGGCTGTGGAATTCTGGGAGTTGAAGTCCACATGCCTTAAAATTGTCAAGGTTGAGAAACACTGCCTTAAGAGATTTAACAGCTGAGAAATCAAACTGACCATACATTTATTGTGAATTTAATAGGATGTAATTCCTAGTAAATAGGCCAAGAACTACAACTTGAGTATAATGAATTTCTTTTTTCATGCTCATTCTTTCCCCAATAACAGGAATGAGATGCCCAGAGATGTACAGGACACTTCTAGCATTAGGATGTACACACACACACACAATAGCTTATGACATTTAAATTCATTATTTTTTTGTCGTCATTTCTTTGAGCTACTACCCTTAGGGTACAAAACAAATCCAGGAATCATCTTTCAAGCTATCGTTATACTGCTTTCCTAAACAGTGAGTCTTATTTCTCTGTTTTCTATTTTTATGCCCTGGTTTTATTGAGGCAGTTTTGTTTCATTTTATTTTATTGCAAGCTACTCTGAATGGAAGCACAGGAAGAAAATGCTTAGAAAAATGTCGATTTAGCGCCAAAGCGAATCGTTCTTTCTTCTAGGGCAGTGTTTCTCAACCTTGACCATTTTAAGGCATGTGGAATTCTGGGAGTTGAAGTCCACATGCCTTAAAATGGTCAAGGTTGAGAAACACTGTTCTAGGGAACGTTTTCACCTACTGAGGACCCTGATCCGGGGCGCGTTTACACTGGGAGAGGCCCCACCGAGCTCAACCGGGGCAATTTCCCGTAGACTTGCGAGATCTTTTCCTAACAGCTTTTGGAGCCCAGGAAAAGCAGCAGGCCCACCACTGAGAACCGACCGACGCCTGAATTAATTATCTGGCTTAGCTACTTAATAATTAGGCAACTAATTATTTATTCGCATTAAGGAAGCCAAGAGACGCGGAGACTCACCATGGCTGCGCAAAACAACGCGGGCAGCACGAGCGGAAGGCACAAAGAACCATTTCCGGGGTGAGGCCGAAGGCGTCACTTCCGGCTCAAGCCGAAAGGAAGTGGCCCTGCAAGGCCTAGTCGCAGGGGTAGGTAGGCAAGCTTGGCTCATTTATGACTCGTGGACTTCAACCCCCAGAATTCCTGAGCCAGCCATGCTGAGGGGAAAGGGAGGTTTCCAAGCTGAGCCATGCTGGCTCAGGAATTCTGGGAGTTGAAGTCCACGAGTCATGAGGGGGCCGTAGTTCCCCCATGCTGGCTCAGGAATTCTGGGAGTTGAAGTCCACGAGTCCTAAAAGAGCCAAGCTTGCCTACCCCTGGCCTAGAGCAACACCTTGCCGTCGGCTGCTTTCCATTCAGAAATGCCTTGCGGGACTCTATGATGCTCCGGTCGCCATGGCGTCGCTGGGTGAGGGACCTACTTCCGGTGCCTCAGAAATTCGGGGGGGAGGAGAGGGATAAAAGGAAAAAATGCCTTTTAAAAAGGGGGAGTCTTATAATTGCTCCTCGCAATTCTAATAGTAAAGGTCCTGCTAGCGGGGGATGATGGGAGCTGTCATTCCAGCGCCTGAGGAGGCCGCTAGGCCGAAGCGAGTCAGCTTCCTGCCATTGCCTCTCCCTCTCACCCAAAGGAAAGATTTAAGTGCTGCGAATCGTTTTTCATTCATCTTTGTGGGGTGTGTTTGCCTGTCTGCAAAATTTAAAAGTGCAGCCCTAGATCCCTCATTCAAAACGTCCGTTTTTGTACCAGTTGCTCTCCTTGATTTTAGGTATAAATAAGGTGACCAACTTTTTTACAATGAGAAAGAGGACACAAATAAATTGAAGAAAAAAAATACCGTAAATAAAACATTTTATTTAGGGTTGCCAGGTCTGCTTCCAAAAAATAGCGGACAAGCGGGGGGGGGGGTGTTAAGTAGTAAAAAAAGTAGACTGTACAGCTTTAGATTACGTACCATTTCATCATAAAGCTTTTGAATAAAAAAAATGTGCACTATTTTGTGAAAAAAAATAGTGAACATAATGTGAAAAAAGCGGACTGTCCACTCAAATAGTGGACACCAGGCAACCCTAATTTTTATTCATTGCAACAATACAGAATACACTATAATATGATAAATGCACAACGAAAAAACATTTGCAACAATAACATTTTATATTGTAATTATGCTTACATGCCTATTAATTATTATTTAAATGAGTACAAAAGAAGGACTGTCCTCCCTAAAGGAGGACGATTGGTCACCTTAGATAAATAAAGCTCACTAATTTACAGCTAGCCCTTGACAGACAACCTTAATGGAGCCTGCCTGCTCTCTGCAGTCGTGATGATTGTAAAATGGGCCAGTCACATGACCAATATGCTTTTACAATCTTTTTAAGCAGTCATTAAGCGAACAAAGCAGTCGAAGTCTCAAGGAAGGCTTGTTGTAACTTTGAACAGTCGCTAAACAACTGGCCGTCAGTTGAGGACTGCCTGCAATAGGACTTAATGCTAAGATGCAATTTAATTAATTTAGGTTAAAATCTATAAAGCATCAATATGTTTCTATTGAAAGAGAAGGGAAAGACGGTTATTCATAGTATTAGCTACCGTCTTTCTTACCAAGGAATACTGTTGCAATGGATGAATAACGGCTGCTGTGAGTACTTCATTAAATAATTTGTCACGGGGTGTCATCTTCTTGCAGGTGATGTTGCAGCTTTGATGTTGGTAGCAATTCTTTGGGGAACAACCAATCCGTTTTTGAAAAGAGGAACTGAGGGTCTGGAGCAGGTAAAGAGAGAAAGCAGACCTCAGCAGATGCTGGCAGAAATAAAGTTCCTTTGCCTGAATTACAAGGTATTTGCCATTTTACACAGCACTCTTCACATTGCTTTTTCTAATCTACTATGGAAGATATCTGGACTGCACCAGCCTGTTCACATGCACAAGGGAAATTAGTCTAAAATTGAGTTGATTTTTTTTCTAAATCTTATGTTACACTGTAATAAGATAGTAGTATTAAATACTAGCAGGGGGTTGGACTAGAGGACCTCCAAGGTCCCTTCCAACATCATCATTGTTATTGTTATTATATTTTTACTTGATACTATTCTAATAATCAGGTTTTGATTAACTGCTTCTAAATGCCAGATAAATCTTAGCATTCTGATTCAGTATATAGTAGCTTTCCGAATGGAGAGGTAATTCCTTGTCTCTATTTCTTTTTCTCTTCTCTGTAAATAAGAATATTTGGGGAAAGTAATGTCCATTTTCTTCTAAGATAGAACACTGTTCAAAAGCTATTGGTTAGCAATGATCTTTTAAAATAGTTTCAACCCAGGAACATATTTTTTTAAAAAAAGAATATATGATGCATTACAATAACTGGAACACTATAGAGATTGCATTGGCCCTGGTGATCAGAAATTGGCTTAAATTACGTAATACTGAAGCTCTCACCATCCAACTATTTTTTCCCCCCCTTACAGTACATGTTGCCATTTATAGTAAACCAGTGTGGCTCCTTCATCTACTATCTTGCCTTAGCATCCACAGGTTGGTCCTTAATTACTGACATTATAAGATTTGGGGAGGTGATTTAAAGTGGAAACTCTGATCATTGTGGGGAATTACTCAGACACCTACTGCAGAATTTTTAAAAATCTAATTTTTGTGACTGTATTACCGTAACTCAGTTCTTAATAGATTTCAGAGCAGGATTATCTTCATTATAAAAAAAAAGAACACTGAGAATTCAAAGGAGAAGGCTTTTAATCACATGATCAGATACGATCTAGACTTCTTTGAGTCCCACTGTGGACACCTTTGGTGCCCTCAAGATATGTTGATTGCAGTTCTTGAATTCCGACCAACATGGTTTGGAAGAGGCCAGTTAAGGGAGAGGTTTTTCCCAAGTGCCCAGATAAATGAAGCTTGCTAGACAGTTGCTGCAGAATCAAGCACTGGAGGTAACTGTAATCTTGTCAATCTTGTCCTATTTGAAAATCCCCGGATGTGGAGATCTAGCTAATGTGCTTTTAGGGAGGAAGATTTCCTATCAGAATTCTTCCCCAGCCATGAACCAGCCAAACATAACCTTCAGGTGGAGTTTCCATTTCACTAGGGTTATTATCTCCTCCGTGGTTATTGTTTGTTTGGATCAAATGATCCTACATGAAATGCTCCACTTTCTATTTCAGACTTAACCCTGGCTGTGCCCCTTTGCAATTCTTTGGCCCTGGTCTTCACAGTGGCAACAGGGAAAATTCTTGGAGAAAACATAGGTGGCACAAGTAGGTATCGAATGCCTTGATGCAAATGCAAATTCTGTCCTCCTTATTGCCATATACCAGTGGTGGCGAACCTATGGCACGGGTGCCAGAGGCGGCACTCAGAGCCCTCTCTGTGGGCACGCGTGCCGTCGCCCCAGTCCTAGGCCTTCAGCTGGGTTTTATAAAAACCTTTTCGCTTTAGGCCTCTGCCACCATGTGCAAAAAAAAAAAAGGTTCAATCAATCAGTCAATTTCAACTTCTCGCGGGGGAAAAAAGATCTTGCAAAGTTGGAATTGATTGATTGAACTTTTTAGTCCCACCCAGTCTGCTGTTACCACCGCAGCCACGCCCACCCAATGGGCCACACTCAATTGACCACACCCACCCAATGGGCCACACCCACCCAGCACCCGATGATGCATAAGTGGGTTTTGGGTTGCAGTTTGGGCACTCGGTCTCTAAAAGGTTTGCCATCACTGCCATATACTACTCCATGTTCCTCTCTCCCAAGAACAAAGTCTGTAGCTTTGGTTGATTTCCTGCTTTTTCTCTTCTGCAGGGGCTGCCCTGGGAATGCTCTTGACAGTCTTGGGCATCGCCATCTGCGTAGTTGCGTCTGGGCACAAAAATCCGTGAGAGGTCTCCAAAGAAGAGGGGAAATTCTGTGGAAGGCCATTCTTATCTGCGCAACTGCTGATGCCACTCTCAAGAGTTGCAGCATGGGGTAAACAAACCCATGGCTCCATGCTAGAAAGAGCATGGTTCTTCATATCCTAGCAATAGCTCCTTCATGCACTTGGATTTCAAAGAGCTCTGGGTTCCTAGATCTTGTTTTGATCTTCCTGTTAGCCAGAAACTTTGGAGACCCTGAGAAGCAGCAGGATCAGGAGCCTTTTAAGTGAATGCAGAAAGATCTCAAAAGCGATAGATGCCCAGACAGATCTGACTTAAGAGCACGATCAATTGCTACTATTCAAATAGGGTCTGTGTTGTGAAGGACGAAGGAGCATGTTTTGGCACAAAAGTCTACAACGAGCATAAAGTACTGGTTACATGGCTCACACCAGATTGATACCCAGAAATACAGTTTCGGAAGTCTAAGTTAGGCTTCAGAATCCCTTGTGATTCCTTCATTACAGAGTTCCTAGTCCTCTAGTCCAGTGTTTCTCAATCTTAGCAACTCGATGATATATGGACTTCAACTCTCAAAATTCCCTAGCTTCCCAGGGCATTCCGGAAGTTAAAATCCACACACTTTCAAGTTACCAAGATTGAAAAACACAGGTTCATTTTATCTATGAATAATGTCAATTTGCTTGCATGAGTGGCATGGTGGCCTAGAGGTGGAGCTCTTGCCTCACAATCAGGATCCTAGGTAGGGGCAGATATTTCTCTGGGCACAAAGAGTTCCCTGTAGGCGTCAGGAAAGGCATCCAGACAGTAAACACAGCTCCATTCACTTGCCCCAACTTCACCTTGATGCAAGCGATCACAGGATTGTTAAAAAAACAATGTCAGTTTTACTTGCATAAGAAGCTCTTTATCCCTCTAAGATCTAAAATCTGTTAACATCGCCACGAGTTTGCCTCTTTTAAACTTGTAACTTAAACTTCTCTCCAGCGCTTTGATTAAAGTAGTTTTAATACAATTACCTTCTTGGATGGCAGTTCCTTACTCTTTGGTATAACTTCCTCTTCCACAATCTCTGCAGCTTTCTGGGGGAAAAAAAATCTTTGCACAGAAGGCTCAATCAGCTGAGCGGGAATTTACACAAAACGAGGAAACTGCTACAAAGGAGCCTTCAATGATTGCATTAGGTCAAAATGTGTATTGAAACAAGCTGATAGGTTGGGCATATCCACCTTTGAGAGAAGAGAGTATTTGTAGCTCAGGGTTGAACTGTGGGGTCCTTGATGGTTTGTACGCGTGCTGGTTTTCCTGCTTACGTTTCATTACCAAACTGGGTAACCTTATCAGTGCTAGGCTGTCTAGCTTGATACTAAATAGAACTGTGGTGGCGAATCTATGGGCACGCACACCGTCTGCCCAGTCCTACAGCTGGGTTTTATAAAACCTTTTCGCTTTAGGTTTCTGCTGCCATGTGCAAAAAAAAAAAAAGGTTCAATCAATCAATTTCAACTCCCGCAAAAAAAAAAAACCTCGCAAAGTTGAAATTGATTGATTGAACTTTTTAGTCCCACCCAGTCTGCCGTTACCACCGTAGCCACGCCCAGGCAATGGGCCACGCCCAGCCGGCACCCGACGATACATAAGTGGGTTTTGGGGTGCAGTTTGGGCACTCGGTCTCTAAAAGGTTCCCCATCCCTGAAATAGAAGGTCGACACTCACTCGTTTCCCCCAGCACGCGCCATAGCCACTAGAGGGCGCGATCGCTCCATTTTTCTCGGGCCTCCTTGCAGAAAGCTATCGCTTCGGCGCTTCTTCCCTTCGACGGGGCGACTATTCTCCACGCGTGTCTTCTTTCTCCCAAGGCGGGGGGGGGGGGACCCTCCGGGAAGCGACTACGAGAAGCTCTGTACTCGGGAATTCTGGGAGTTGAAGTCCATGAGTCCTAAAAGAGCCGAGGTTGCCTACCCCTGGCCTAGATTGAGACCTGTCTTCACTTTTTCTCCACCCGTTCACTTTGTGTGTGTGTGTGAATTTTTTTTTTGTTATTTCATTCATTCTCTTTCTACGATCAAATCACCGCAAGTAACTCCTTTCCTACAGATCGTTTACTTTTCTACCAATTCCTTTCTTAATTCATGTTCTTTATTCTTTCCTCCTCTCACATTCCAATCTCTCCCACGCTGTGATTGTAACACCGGTGGACCTACCAATCTTAACTCCTGCCGTGATCATAATGTTAGTAAAACTAGGTTTTTACTGGGTGTTTTTAGTAACACTGAAAACATATAGGTTACCCCCTTTAGTCAGATCACAGGTGGCGTGCCCCGCTAATGGTAAAGATGATGCTGGTCTGTTCGGGTACTTTTTACTAAATGCCACAAATAAATGCAAATAAAGCTCATTAGTTTATTGCAAACCACGCTTGAGCTGCTCTGTGCAAAAACGCCGGTCTCTAATCTAAAATCTACCTCGCGAGCTCCAAGCAACAATGAATAAATTTAAGTGACGTTTCCACTGTTTAAAAACCGATGCCGAGTCTACGAGGGAACCCAATCCCAACCAGATACTCTTAATTTAAAAAAAAACGCAGGCAGAAAGCTGCCTGGGAAGCGCATCTTGCAAAGCTTGTTAGAGGGGAGATAAACTGGTCTAGAAACTTGGAAACGCCGTTTCGTGCTCAGGGAACGCAGGTCAGATAATCGGTGCAACCGCCTTGGCTGCAAAAGCGAAAGCATTTTTGAGAGACCAGTAAAGCGCAAAAAAAAAAAAAGAAATCTCTCCCTTTTCGCTGATGCGACCGCGCGCCGCTATGCCGCCTTGCAGCCCGGTGGCCCCGCCCAGATGTCCGGACGCCCGGACCGAGATCGGCCCCGCCCCCTGAGCCTTGGAGCTGCGGCCTGGCTGGCACGTCGGAAGGGCAAGTGGCTTGCAGCCTGGCCATTACCTACGTCTGCTAAGGGAGGGCTGCAAGAGGAGCCACCGGTTGGACAAGTTGGCACGAGCAGTGCTCTCCCCAGTTCAGGAGGCGAAGATCCTGCTGATCCCAGCTTGGATCCTCTGCCTTCTGTGCCCGAAGAGAGGAAGTCTAGGCACAAAATCACCTCTGCTTTTCTGGCACTGGAAAACAGGATAGGAAGAAGCAAGAAGAGAGGCCCGACATGTCTCTTCCGTCAGATTTCCAGCTTACTACTCCTGTCGGCTTTGATGCTGTTGCTGGAGAATTCGGGGCAAAGCCAAAGCAGGTGTCAGGGCTGCTACGGGCCTTAAACCTCACCAAGTCAGAACAGGAAAAGCATCCCCAAGCCGCGTTAGGTGGTTTAAAATTCTGTGACTCCAAAAGCACGGCCAGAGAGGAAAAAACGACTTTTTCTGCTAGAGATAGGGATGGGTTTCTTTCAGGAATGTTAGCACTTAATGCAGAAAGGCCAGAGCCTGCCCTAAAGAAGGAAATGGCCCCTTCTACAAAATTGGTTTATACGCAACCACTACTAATCGATCCCATCCCAATGCTATCTGGTGACGCAAGTGGCAGTGCTCAATCGGCTAATAAAGAGGGAAAGAGAACCAAGATGTCGGATAAAGAGGTAGCAGAAAAATTGCAAGCTATTGTGAGTAGAGGAGATCCCAAGAAAAAATATACCTGATACAGGAAAATAGGGCATGGGGCTTCTGCTACTGTTTTCATGGCAAAAGATGTTGAGACGGGACAGGAGGTTGCTATAAAAGAAATAAACCTACGGAAACAATCCCGAAAGGAGTTGATTATTAATGAGATCTTGGTCATGAAAGAGCTGAAGAACCCAAACATAGTCAACTTTCTGGACAGTTACCTGGTTGGAGATGAACTGTTAGTTGTCATGGAGTATCTGGCTGGCGGATCCCTTGCCGATGTAGTCACAGAGATTTGTATGGATGAGGCGCAGATTGCTGCTGTCTGCAGAGAGTGTTTGCAGGCCCTGCAGTTCCTACAGGCCCACCTGGTGATTCACAGAGACATTAAGAGTGACAATGTGCTTTTGGGAATGGAGGGTTCAGTTAAGCTGTCTGACTTCGGATTCTGTGCTCAGATTACTCCAGAGCAAAGCAAACGTAGCACAATGGTTGGAATGCCGTGTTGGATGGCTCCTGAAATTTTGACACAGAAGGGTTACGGCCCTAAAGTGGACATCTGGTCTCTAGGCATTGTGGCCATTGAAATGGTTGATGGCGAACCTCCCTATCTCACTGGACACCCTTGGAGGACATTGTGTTTAATAATAGCCAATGGCACCCCGGCCCTACAAAGCCCAGAGAAGCAGTCTCCGGTATTCCGTGACTTTTTACATAGCTGTCTGGAAACGGATGTAGAGAAAAGAGGGTCAGCCGAAGAACTGTTACAGCATCCTTTCTTGAAACTTGCAAAACCTTTGTCAAGTTTGACCCCATTGATTCTAGCAGCCAAAGAAGTCATGAAGAGTATTCGCTAGCATTGCTGTTGTGGTCTTTATCATTCCTGCTTTTGTTCGTTTGTTGGCTTTGTTTGTTGCTTCCTAATATACACGTTGGTGATCTTTTTAGGGATGTTGAAAGCCTGCAGCGGGAGAGGGGGGATAATCACCTCAGCTGGAAGATACAGGAGAAGAAAAATGGTGATAATAGTGAACTTTTCTGCAAGTCTTGGAAGTTGTAAACTGAATCACTGGCCTTTTCAACACTCGTACAAATAACTCAAATATATTTTGCTATGCCTATGAGTCGTTTGGCTTTGGGTGCACATTCCCATCTACGTTCTGATTTGAGCACTTGCAACTGGTTCAAACTTTTAGAGGGAGGTATTATTTTAATCTGGCGGTTTTTTTTCACCTTAGGTTTTCTTTTTTTTTAGGCAGTGATTGAAACTATGGGAACTTTTGAGTTATTTAAAACAGATAAAAATGTGCAAGTTCTTAGGGAATCTTGAAATGCATCTTTTATCCTTAAGAAGTACTTGGCGAGAATGGGAAAGACCAAGAATGTAGAGATGATGTAGCTGTGGAACAGCAAATTAGAAACCAGAATAGGAATCACAGTGAAAAGAGAGAATTTATCAGAATATATTTTTGTAAAAAAAGCATCAGGGAGATCATTGGGAAGAGAAAAATCATTTTAAATTTGGATCTTTAAATTTCTGCTGTTTTGTTTGTTAAGATTAATTTGGGGATGAGAATATGTGGTGTCATGGTATGGTACTGTAACTACTATGGTTTGGAATAATTACAATTGTTTGGGGGGGGGAAGCTGTGTAAGCCACCACAGAGACTTCTCACAAGTTGTTGCTTGAGAACAGCTAAAGGGATCATAATGTCTGTTGTGTGGCAGATATGATGAACCTCCCCACAAAGTCTTCAGTTATAATAGGACATTAAATTCAAACCCATTAGATAACCTGGATATTGCTGCTATCACCAATCTTGCAACTATGGCTCCGTTAGTAAATTGTCATTTCAACAAGCCTATTTACAGATAATAATTATGGAGAACATTGTAGGGTTTCATGTATTTGGAATGTTAATTATAACTTCTACCTCTAGCTATAATAATCAAGGGAGATACAGCATTTTTTTGGTGAGTTTACTATAAAGATCCAGATTGTAAACATTCTGAGCCAAAGAAGTCAAGTTTCAGCCATTATTGAAGCAACTTTTTTTTTGTTACAGCTAGTTGGTGACAGTGCTTGATCATATGGACTTTCATATGTACTATAAGAATTATTGGAGTTTGAATTCCATAATCTTGTGTGTAAACATTTCTTTATGATTTTAAAGCATGGTATATTATATATATATATTATATAGTAAATATATATAATCTTAGCAGAACTGTTTGGTGATATTCTCTTCACTGTTTTGCATATAGAAAAACATGCATGCACTTTAGGAAGAAAATGTTATTCCCCTTCTATTTTTATAAAATGTTGATAAGAGGATTATCATGGCAACCATACAAATTTCACCTGTACTTTGTTGCCGAGTTTACAGTGTTATTTTTAATTACTGTTATGTAATTAAAAGCAAAAAATGAGTAACTTGTGTGAATGTGTAATCAATACAATCAGCTATGTTTGCACTAAGAATGAATGCGGGCAATTTAGCCCACCAGAATGGGGGATTTGCCAACTTGGAAACACTACTTTTATACAGTCTCCTGTTCAAGTTACATTTTTTATATATTGCAATTATTATTATTAGTAGTATTACAGAACTATGAGAAAATGGAAAATAATTTTGATGACATCAAGCACAGGACTCTGGGTGAGCATGTTGTATATTTAGACTATATGTGAACGAATGAAAACAGTTCACCTAACTTGCGCATGTATTAAGGAAATTGTACAACAATTCTGGTTTTTTTTAAGTTAGTGTCAACTGTCTAGTTGGCGAATCCAGAAAAAGGAACTCTTGGGATATTATTTTACCAAGAGTATAAAACTTTACTGAATAAGACACATTGGCACGGAAGTGAAACAAGCTCTGGATTTTCCATGCAAAAGTCAAGCATCATTCCCCCTTTTCCTTCCAGGCCATTCACAGTCCAAAATGTCCACCAATCTCTTCTGTTCATTTTGTTATGGGAAACAGCCAGCCAGGCCAGGTGCATCCTTGAGTTGACAGCAATGTCTCACGGAAGCCGATGGATGCTTGAATACCATTCTCCCACCCCTGCATTCCGTCTCTTCTTAATTTGAATTTAATTCTCACCATATAGCAGCCTGTACAATTTCCTTCTCTATTAGTCTTGAATGGGTTTATACCACTGTACGTTAAAATGAATGACCTTCTTCTTGAAAAGGGAAAAGAATGTTCATTATCAATTTCATGAACCCATAAAATTCTATTTCACAGAACCCGTAGTTCTATTTCATCCTTGGGAGTAGGTGGTAAATATTGCAATCTTGCTACAGTCATTCACACAACGTTCAGCAGATTTATTGGCACAAGTGCCTACAATTGCAGGGCTCCTTTTTTTTGGAATCCAAGGGTTGGTGTAGATTTCCCATTTTAAGAATTTATAGAAAACAGAAAAAATGTGTCACGTTTAGGACAAAACAACGTATGACTGGAAAATTTTGCATTGATTTATTCTGATAGAATTAGCTACTGTCATCTTAAAATAATTTCAGTTGTCTCTGTAACTGATTCAAAAGTCATACTGTACTTACCATTATAAAGTTTTCCCTAACAGTTTAGTGTTAAAATATTTGCTTTTCCTCCTCCCTAATAGAGTCATTTTGTTTAGATTTGAAGGATTTAGGTTTGAAACAGCATCATGTTTATGTTTCCTGGTAAAATACATGGGAAAATCCCATTGGAGGGAAATTCCACTTAGGGTAGGGGTAGGTCACCATGAATCCGGAGAGGAAAATGGACATCGCCAACAAACTCGGAATACTTGGGTATGGTTAGGAGGGCACTGACTGTTCTAGCCTGCCCTATCTACGTATCCTGGTAAAATACATGGGAAAATCCCACTGGAGGAAAATTCCACTTAGGGTTAGGGTTAGGTCCCCATGAACTCATAGAGCAAAATGGACATCGCCAACAAACTCGGAGTGCTTGGGTATGGTTAGGAGGGCATTGACTTTTCTAGGCTGCCCTATCTATGTTTCCTGGTCAATTACATGGGAAAATCCCATTGGGGGAAAATTCCACTTAGAATTAGGGTTAGGTCACCATGAACTCATAGAGCAAAATGGACATCGCCAACAAACTTGGAGTGCTTGGGTATGGTTAGGAGGTCACTGACTTTTCTAGGCTGCTTTATCTATGTTTCCTGGTCAATTACATGGGAAAATCCCATTGGAGGAAAATTCCACTTAGGGTTAGGTCACCATGAACTCATAGAGCAAAATGGACATCGCCAACAAACTCGGAGTGCTTGGGTATGGTTAGGAGGGCACTGACTTTTCTAGGCTGCCCTATCTATCTTTCCTGGTAAAATACATGGGAAAATCCCATTGGAGGAAAGTTCCAAGTCATGGGGTATCCCTTTCCTATTACCTGAAGTGGAGGGTTAAGATCCAAATCCTTTTTGCCCTCCGCCGCCGCCTTTTGCCAACGAGGACGGGGCGGTGCCCTATGGATGGGTGGCCAACGCTCCCAGCAAAGTGTGATAAATCAAGGGGGGGTTTTATGGTGCTGCATTTCTGCATCCCCCACATCTGCGGCTCCCCAACTCCTGTGCGTGGTGTCTTTTTCTTTTTTTGCACCCAAAGGCACCCATCTTTAATTTTATTATTATTTTTTTAAAAAAACGCTGCGCATCTTTTCCTCCCAGTAGTTGCAAAGTAGCCCTTGCACCCTAGAATAGAGTGGAGACAGGGGGCGCGTTCTCCAACGGCGCAGACTGAACGACGCCTCGCTTCTCTAGCCCCGGGCGAGCCCCTTAGGCCGGCCCAAGCCGCCCCCCCGTTGGTGGGTAGGCCAGGCAACGGGGCTCCCGGCTTGGGTGGTCTTCCACGCGGGCCCCGTCCGCGGCCCGCTTAGGAGCCCTGCGCCAGGGGAAAGAAGGCGCGCTTGGGACTGGAGAGCGCAAAAGGCGCGCGCTCCTCCAAGGCGCCGCCCGCTTGCCCGCCAAGCGGGGGCAGCTGCAGAGGTTCGATCCTGCCGGGCGCTGGGTCTGCGAGGCCGCCCCCTCCTCACCTCTGCCGCAGGAACCGGCCAGTAGGAGGCAGCCCAGCGCGAGGGAAGCTAGCCGACCGCAAGCCAGGCTGGCCCGCACCGCGCGCCCGCTCCAAGGGCGTCCACGTGGCGGACCTGGAGCCCTCGCCGACCAGAGGAGGGGCCGCTTTGAGCGGGGCGAGGGGAGGGGAGGGCGCCCCGGAGGCCCCGCACACCCGCCAGACGAAGCTCCCGCTCGCTTCTGCCTTCGCCTCTTTGCATGGAACTCCCCCTCTTCCGTGAGGTGCACAAACAGGACTAGCGCCCTTAAGTCTCCTTCCCTACCCGCGTGTGTGTGCGTGTGTGTGTCCGTGCATGTACGCTGTCGCACGTGCGCACCTTTTGCACGTACTTGTGACCGGGCGCGTTCAAACAAAATCAGCACCAATTCCTGCAAAAACGAGCGCAAATCGGCAGATCGCGGGAAAAGAGATCAGGAGCCGCCCCGCGCGCCCTAAAGCAGCTCTGGGTTCACACTGCACGGAGCGAGGGTTTCCTTAACTGTGGCTTATGTGGAAGGAAGCCTAGGTTTGCAGGTAACCCTGTCCAGGGCCTGCAGGGCACGCTGTGCTCCAGGCGCAGCCTCTGGCTGGGTGTGTGGATGCGGCGCTGATTGCTTCTCTTCCCTCCCGGCCCTGGGGTCAAAAACGACCCTCGCTGGAAGGAGAAACGGGCTGCTTTTCCCGGGTTCTGCTCCGGGTCTGGTGGTGACGGAGCCGTCGGGGGCTCAGAGGAGGCCGAGGAAGACCCGCACCCTTTGGGGGGGGCTCCGGCCGGCCGAGGTGCAGAGAGGGGGAGGGGAGGCGCGCGGGCAGGGAAGGGCGAGGTCCCAGATCAGTTCATCCCGAGCTTCCCGACGTTCGGGGATGTGACCCGGCCCTTCGCTGCAACCGCCCGTTTCGCAAGCCAGTAAGTCTCCACTCAACAACCGCGCAACCTCTTGGAGAAGAACCCCTTGCGCGTAACGGGGTCTCCTTTAGGATGACCCTGGAGAAACTTCCCACCGTTGGGCCGGAGCAAAGCGACCCAGGTTGCTCCTCCATAAGTTGCTATGAGTTTCAAACGCTCCTTTTAAAGTTCTGGTTCAAAAAAGCAAACCAGATTCTGCACCGCTTAAATTGCGGGATGAACCGTGAGGATCCCCGCGATTCTTTGGTTTTGGAAGTCTCCCGGGCGCGCTTGAGCCGCGAATCCCTTCAGCTTTGCAAAATGTCCTTTTTCTCACGTGCCCGAGAGGAAATGAGGCGAAGCACGTGTGCGTTCCAGCGCTTGTGTGCCGATTTCCCCTTTCCGCGATAGATGAAACTTTATTTTGCATTGGATATTTCCCTTGCACTTTAAAGGGCTTCCAGAACCAAAGAGCTTTTGCAAGGAGAGCAACAACAATCAGGGCAGTCGGTTCGGCACTTGCATTCAAGGCTAGGGGAGCCCATTGCATCAGCCACCATCGTTTTAATTTTTTGAGATCTCATCATTATTATTAGACTTAATATAGCCATATTAAAACCGGACTGAACCTGTTTTGCTGCTAGTCACAGCAGTCGAATTAAGCTGGCATTCTGGTAAATAATATGCATCCCCCACAAAATCTCATATGCACAGAACGGTAATTGCTGCCAAAATATTATTTTACAGAAAATTCTGCTAGGTATTCTTAATTTATCATTTCCTGGATAAGAAATAGGAGGAAAAAAATAATTCCTCCAACTTTATTAATAAGTATTTCCTAGGTTTTTTAAAAATGCATTTTGTGAAAAGATGCAGAGTTATTATAACTTATTGTAATTTATATAATCGACACACACACACACATATATATAGTTTTGCAGTTCTTGGTAATTGAACGTTTGTGATACTGATTAAAAATTGAGGTGACAAGCTCAAAAGATAAGTTCTACCCTCTGTTGTAGAACTCTTCTCTATTTGAAGACACTAAGATTAGACATATCCAGCATAACCCAGCTTGATTTTGAAGGAACGTCTCTTCCAGTACTGAAGTTCTTCATTGAAGAAGAAGAAATTGGACCGCTGAAGAAGATTTACTGGTCCTCATGCATTCCAACAGCTGTTTTACCTCTCTGTTCTCCTTTACTGGCCCCTCTACGAAGAGGTTGTTGGGTTGGAAGCAAGGAGACGAGGAAGAGAAGTGGGCTGAAATGGCAGTGGATTCCTTGGCGAAGAAGCTGATGAAGAAAAGGGGTGCCTTGCAGGAACTGGAGAGAGCCCTCAGCTGCCCTGGGCAGCCCAGCAAGTGTGTGACCATCCCCCACTCCTTGGATGGAAGGATGCAGGTCTTCCACCGCAAAGGGTACCCGCATGTCATCTACTGCCGAGTGTGGCGCTGGCCTGACCTGCAGTCTCAGCACGAATTGAAACCCCTGGCCTGCTGTGAATTCCCCTTTGGTTCCAAGCAGAAGGACGTCTGCATCAACCCTTACCATTACCAAAGAGTGGCAGCTCCAGGTGAATTGGTCAGGTGCCTGTTTAGGAAAGGACAACCCTGCCTTGGTTGCGTAATTATTTTGTCTGGGGAAAAAAAGGGAGTCGCACAGAAGCTATGATTGGAAGAAGGATAATCAAAGATTCAAGAGGCAGACTTTTAGTTACGGTTAGGTCACCCAAGACCCAGAGAAGAAAAGACAGGAGGGATTCAGACGCTACTCTTATTACTAGGAATGAGCATATCTTGACAACAGGCATGCAAAGAGTTGCTGTTCACTCCTGGGAGCAACGGTTGTACAGTATTTACAGAATGATGTGTGTGTGTGTTAAACAGGAAGGTGGGTACCCTAGTTGTTGGAACTCCAGGACACTTTATGATGGTTTCATCATGGATATGGGAGGTCAGGAGGAGAGAATGCCTTGCTAGTCTGGGTGGTAATTCTCTTCATAGAGGCTGCAACAGCAATTCCTGTTATTCTGTTTCTGCAAAGAGCTTCACTCCATACTTTATATAGGAAGTGGGGGCAATGGAAATAACTGGCATAATGGGCAGAAGAACAGGAAATGAACATCTGTGTTGGCGATAGTAATAACCCCCCCCATAGGCCCAGGTTAGATTGTCTTTCCTCTTTTAGTTGCTGTGATGTGACCTTTTGTAGGCTATTTATTTTATATAACTGTTTACGTTTTATGAGAGTTTTCAGTATCATAGATGAAATGGCAGAAAATACTGTAGCAATAATAAGTGATATATTGATATTAAAATTAGTGTCCCCTTAGACAATGGATTCTTTACATTTAATCAGGTAATTTTGCAAAGCATTTTTTTTTATAACTGCAGGTGCATTTTAATGATGCAAACAAGAATTTGCTCAACAAATTGTTCAACTGCAATTAGCCCAAGTGAATTCTGCCATCATATTTAACCTGCTTGTTTGGTCATGTAAATTGGTCTGCTGTCTGCCAGATATGAAAATAAAAAACAAAAAGTTGTGTGCTTTTTTAAACCCATTAGGATGCCACACTCCCGACAATAGTGAACTAGCAAAAGTAGGTGCTGAAAAGCTTGTGTGCCCCTGGCGGGTGCCTCTCCATGTTTTGTGCTTGTCCAAGGTGCTGAAATAGTAAGGTCCCTTTGCTCCCTACTTAGGACGCACTGAATGTTATGCAGGAAAGATACCATTGAAATCAGACAACAGAGAACTCTAGATTAGATGATAGAGCAATAATTCAGCACCATTTGGTCCTTTATTGTTTTAAGCCATCAAGTCATTCTTGACTCAGGGTGAGTGCCTGGACAAATCCCTGCAGGTTCTTTAATTCTTCACCTGTCATCATTTTCCCACATTATGTATGTATGTATATGTATGTACATACGTACGTATGTATGCCTGCCTATTTGTCTGTCTATCTGTCCGCCTGCCTATCTATCCATCCTTCCATCCATGTCATTGTCATCTATCACCTGTTATCTCTCTCATCTCTCTATCAATAATCTTTACCTTTCTATCATCTACAATCTCTGTCATCAATCTTCTATCACCTATTTAACAATCAATCCATCCATTCATCCATCCACCTGTCTCTCTCTCTATATGTATGTATGTATATATACACACACACACACACATATATGTATCTGTCTATATAATCTATCTAATCAATATTTATAATCTGTGTATATCTTCTATCTTCTGTCATTTCTACCTATCTGTCTCTTTCAATCTCTGTCTCTCATCTCTACCATTTCTATTTATCTAGCATTGTAATCTCTTTCTCGCTCATCTGTCTATCTTCTATCTAATGTATATATCTATAATCTATATTTAATCTATATCTATGCCCGACTCCAAACTACTTTCAAAACCTCTGTTGTAGTGTTGCCTCCAGTGTTGGTTCCAAGACAGAGTGAATTCAACCCACAGTTCAGCCTCCTCAACATATTCCAAAATGTGTCTCTTGAGAGTGAACAACAGATGCCCAACAGCGCAACTCAGCCTGATCCTCAGCATGCAGAGCAGCCTCCCTGCACCCCTTTCCCAGCACCTCACAATATGCCCACTCCGTCAGCAAGCACCATGGGCTACCCAGTCACCCCAGGATGTGCAGCTGCTCCAGAAAGGCCTTCTGAACTCACAGGTATGCAAAGAGAGTACCAAACACTTAGTGGGGTTGAGTCTATTGCAGCCTCTCTTTAGAAAACGCAAAGTTTGGCATCGTTAAACTGCAAGAACCAACATTCAGCGCTATCTACAAATTCAGGCAGTTCTGGTAGTAGTAGCAGCTGTGTTAGTCTTGAGAATTTGGGTTGGAGAATGGCATGTTTGTTATTTGTTTGTTCTATGGGGTTTTTTTAATAGCTCAGTCAGCTCTGAAGCTTCTGGACAAATATTTTGATTACTATGATGTTCACTTTTTAAAAGTTAACACACTCAGTTAATGACACTAATTAACACAACACAGTAGTTTACCTTGCATTTTTATCATCGTCCTTTCTAGTAGTTCTCAACTTGCAACTATTTATTTAACAACTGAAAAAAAAAAGATTTATGACTGGTCCATGCACTTATGACCATTTGCAGCATCCCAGGGTCACATGATCACCATTTCCAACCTTTCTGAGGGGCTTCTGACAAAATCAATAAGGGAAGCCAGATTTGCTGATGAACTGAGTGTCACTCAACAATTTCATTGATTCGCTTAACAACTGGGGGGGGGAAGGTTATAAATCTTGAGTCAAGTGTGACTCATTTTAGCAATGAAACTTTCAGTCCCCATTGTGCTTATAAATCAGGGGTAGTCAACCTTGGCTCTTTTATGACTCGTGGACTTCAGCTCCCAGAATTCCTGAGCCAGAATTCTGGGAGCTGAAGTCCACGAGTCATAAAAGAGCCAAGGTTGACTACCCCTGTTATAAATCAAGGATTACCTGCATATCTCTTTTCTGTTCTGGCAATGCCAGCTGTTTAAATGTGTATGTGAAGAGTGTATTTGGATATGAAACAAATCACACTGCTATTATTGCGTTTCTGTCTACATACACCTGTGAAACCTTCTTCCAGATGTCCAACTTGTGAGCTATGAGGAACCCGAGCAGTGGTGCTCAGTTGCCTATTACGAACTCAATACAAGAGTAGGACAGACTTTTCAGGCCTTTTCTCGAAGCATACTAATAGATGGCTTTACAGATCCTTCAAACAAGGACCACTTCTGCCTTGGATTGTTCTCTAATATTAACAGGAACTCTTCCATAGAAAACACCCGGAACCACATCGGAAAAGGTAATTGCAGAGAATCACTGCATGTCAGATGCATGGAAGCCAACTGGAGCATTTTGCTCTCCATAGAAGTGACCAATTTGGTCAATTAGAACAAAAAGATCCCATGGTTAGTCAAAAGTACACTTTACTAAAGTCAAGTGGTTACAGAAGAAGCAAAGTTGGATCTGAGGTTTCCGCACCCAAAGCCTACGGTTAACATTCCCTTGTTCCCACCTTCTCCCATGGTTATCAACAAGTGTCCAATTAGGTGCTAACAAATTGTTTGAGTAACACTCCCTGTCTTCGTGGGCTGGATAGTTCTGTATTTCTTAGTGTGACCTTGGAATGGTCAGCAACTATACCCTGATCTTAGTATATCATGAAGTGGTTTAGAACAAGAGTCTTTTTGCTTCGATTGTGTTGAAGATACATTAGTCTTGGTCCCTCTTCTCTCCTGAAGGTGTCCACCTGTATTATGTGGGGGGAGAGGTCTTTATTGAGTGCTTGAGCGACTGTAGCGTTTTTGTCCAGAGCTCGAATGCCAACTGTGAGCGTAGCTTCCACCCGAGCACCGTCTGCAAAATCCCCAGTGGATATAACCTGAAGATCTTCAACAACCTGCTCTTTGCACAACTGCTTTCCCGGTCAGTTAACTGTGGTTTTGAGGCCGTCTCTGAGCTCACCAAGATGTGCATTATCCGGATGAGCTTCGTTAAAGTAAGAACTTTCTTTGTCTTGTATTATAAAGCTGAAAAATTGGGACTGGCTTCTTTGTTACAGGGACATTTTAAAAGGATAAGATGCACTAAATTTTGTAGCTGAGTAAAATCATTTCTGAACTTGATTTCTGGAAGATGGTAGATCTGCTTAAAATTCCACAAAGGATTACAGCACTCACTCTCTTTAGATTCAGGTTTAACTTTGAAAATATAACCAAAGATTCAATACGAGAGACTATATAATAGAGACTTCACTTACATAATCGTTACATCTTCAAAAAGTGGCCTAATTCAAATAGCAGCATTGTATGGATTTGTGTAGGAAAAGAATTAATGACAATCAAGCCTATCCCAGATGAAAAAACCAATTAATGAACTGAAAGTCTGGCAGATGTAACTCCATATTAGACTCGGTTTCCTTAATTGTTCTTTGCTGAAGAATGCTTTTGAGTTGTTGAACTAATACGAATGATGTGATTTGCTCCAAGTCCATATGTTTTTATTAGATGCATCCTAACTCTATCCACAATTGTACGTCTTGTCAGTGCTTCACAGTGCGAAGGTAATGGATGTATTTAACTAAAATCAAGAAAGTGTTTTCTTGAATAGAATGAAGAATGTCTCATCCTTTCCCATTTGTTGGTCTCTTCTTGTAGGGCTGGGGAGCAGGCTACCATCGCCAGGCAATCACCAGTACCCCGTGTTGGGTGGAGATCCACCTTCATGGAGCTTTGAAATGGCTGGACAAGGTGCTGAGGGAAATGGGCTCTGCGGAGGCTCCCATCTCTTCCGTTTCATAAGAATCATCTCCAACATCTGGTGGACAAACATGGCTTCAGATATATATATATGTTTCTGTATCTCTAATAATCTTAAAAACCTGAATCCCAGGTATATTCATTGAAATACAATAGAGCCACTGAACTCCGGGATAGAAAACACTTTTTAATAAATACAACTTAGCTTTCGTCAATCCTCTGTTGACATCATCAGAGTTGGTAATCGGTGGTTTCTGTATACATATATACTCTTTGTATATCTGATATTATTAGTGCTTTTCATGCTGTTTTACTACTTAAGATGGTAGTCGGTGGTGTGGGTGCTTGACTTGTGTGGGGACCAGCCTTAGTACCCTCCACTTCCAGAGATGTCAGCGTATTGTCGTAGAACTTCACTGTCCTCTAGGGACATCAGGTGCTTAGTAGGTAGCTACTCTTTCAACGTTAGTTCTGCCAGATGCCGAAGGAACTTGTGCATATTAAGACTCCACTGTGATGGATGCTGGAGCCCACAGGAACTGGCTGGAACACGAAAAACTGTGAGAAGGAACATCTATGCTACTGGCAATCCCATCTGGAGTCTTGGGATCCAGAAGGACTAAACTTTTTCTCTTTTGTTAATGCAACCAGCAGATTACCTCCCACAAAGTGGTTGCCCGGCTGGGGATGGCCTGGATCTTAGCTCAAGTACAAGGAGTCCAAAGATTCCTCCTGTACCTGCTCCAGCGGTGACTACAAGGAGGCACCCAGGCCACCATGTAAGCTGAGCTCTTCAAAGTGAAGGGTTCGGTTAATTTAACTCAAGGTGTCAGCTCCCATTTTTGGGTTCCGACGAACGTCTTGAAAAGTGGGGAATTGTAGTGCGTAAAGCTCCTTCTTCAGCATTCCAGTCAGCTGCTTGCAAGGGAGGAAGTGGACAACCTTAAGGGGAGGAAATCACTTTTATTTACACTGAGGTGCCATTAAGAACTGTGCTCCAGGTTGGAAGTTAAGTCTGAACTGCAACAGTCCCGCACAATCCTGCAAGTGGGGCTCACCCCCTAGGGCAGACTCCCCGTCCAGGGGCCTTCAGACAGCAGGGCTAGCTGGGCTCTTCCTGGAGAAGCCTGGCTTTATGCTCTCAGGTGTCCTCCAGGAAGAAGGCGGCTTTCTGCAACGTCTCTGGGCAAGAGAAGAAAAACGGTTTTGGTGAAGCGTCTGCACAGTTCCTTCATTTCCCATCTTGCGTCCCCTTCAGGAGCTCCAGGCAGAAGATTCCTTCCTTCTCCCCAGAGCCACGGTGGGCAGGTCCCAGGCTACGTCCGAGGTGAGCCAGGACCTCCGTGGGTCACCAAGCCCTTCTGCCGGGCAGCCCGGACTTTTCCAGCCAAGGCCAGGGTGCTGCCGGCCCAACGCCCGAGGGCCCTTCAGGAGCAGCCAGCCCGGGTGGGGACAGCGCACAACCCTCGCCGGGGTCCCCAACAGCAGCCAGGAAAGGCCGGTCCGAGGGCGCGCGGGGGCCCGAAGCGAGAAGGCCTCCTCCCGGCGGTTACCTTCCACGCGGCCTCCTCGCTGCATGATCCGCTCCCAGGCGAGGGGGGCCGCCTGCACCGCCGCCAGGTCCCGGTAGCTGAGCGAGAGCAGCAGCAGCCGCGCCTCCAGGTAGCTGGCCAGGCCGGTTAAGGAGCGCTCCCGGGCAGCCTCCCGCAGCCTCCCCCGCCCCGTCTCGTCTCCCGGGCGCGCCCAGGCCAAGGATACACGGCGTGGAAGAGCGCCTCGGCGTCCAGCAGCCCGGCCAGCAGCCCGGCCAAGGCGGGGTCCGGGCGGGGCCCCCCGAGCGCCAGCAGCGGCGCCACGCGCGCGCCCACCGCATCCCGAGCCTCCCGCAGCGCCGGCCTGCGGAGAGAAGGCGAGAGAGGAGGGGGAGGAGGCGGCGGCGGCTCGTCTCGGCCCTGCCCGGCGGCCCAGCAGGGAGAGGTCGGGGGGCGTCGCGGCCCTTACAGCTTCTCCCGGCGCAGCTCCGCCAGCAGCGCCTCCATGGCCGCCCGCTGCTTCAGCCGCAGCCGCTCCGGCAGGCGCGCGAAGGCCCGCAGCGGCGTCTCCGCCAGGGGCGCCCTCTGCGTGGCCTCCGCCTGCCGGGCCAGGCTGCCCAGGGCCCGCAGCAGCGGCAGGCAGGCGGCCAGCGCCTCCAGCCAGCCCCGGTGCTGCTCGTGGAGGACGCGCGCGCCCGAGCGGAGACCGTCCCGCAGCTCCGCCGCCGCCGCCATCTTGTTCGGCAGCTCCCCTCCTCGCCCCTCCCCTCGCCGCTGCGATTGGCGGGCGCCTTGCCGCGCGTCGCTAGGCTGCGGGCGGAAGCGCTTCTTTCCGCGCGCCGCTTCCGGTCGAGCCCAAAACTGGATGCAGAATTGCAAAAGTGGTCTAACAACGCAGTAGAAAGCTGTAGCGCACTTCACATAGGGTTGCCAGGTGTCCACTATTTGAGTGGACAGTCCACTTTTTTCACATTATGTTCACTATTTTTTTTCACAAAATAGTGGACATTTTTTTTATTCAAAAGCTTTATGATGAAAGGATACGTAATCTAAAGCTGTACAGTCTACTTTTTTTACTACTTAACCCCCCCCCCCGCTTGTCCGCTATTTTTTGGAAGCAGACCTGGCAACCCTAACTTCACATGTGCGCCGCATTGGCTTTTTTTGGTAGCTGCAGCACACTGATGGTTATAACTCCTGGATCCTTTTCACAATTACTGCTGTTAAGCTACGCACCAGCTGTTGTACGCCCGCAATTTTGATTTGTGTTGCCTAACTCTAAAACCATAGTTTTCTCTGCAGTGAATTGCATTTCATTGGATAGGGCCCAGTATGCAAGTGTGTCAAGATCCTTTTGCATCTTGAGCCTATTTTCTAAAGGTCCCCAACCTGCAGGGGCTTCTTCAGAGAGTTGGCACGACTCAAGACTGACTCAAAGACATGGTACAAACAATGCCTGGTAGAAAACAGAGACTCTGCATCATTGCTTCTTCTGGAAGATGCATCCTCTTAATTTTCCTCTGCACCCCAAAATACAGTTTGGACTCTGCAGGAAATGCTAAGTTGGAAAGTTTACCCAGCCTTCTCTTCTTCTTCTTCATTTATTGCCTTATTCTTCTTTATTGCCTTGGGATTTTTGGTGTTCTCCTATCTATGCACTGATTGGGTTCAACCCTATCTAGATCCTCTTTTTATAGAAAAAAAAGGCCACAAAAATTGCATACAATTTTAATTTAATGACATTGGTCCTACTGTTAGGGTATGAGAAGAGTCAACAGAGATAGCCCTACCCATTTATTTAGTCCTATATTCAACCACATTACTCAATGTTTTCAACTGAATTGTTCATATTCAGATGTTCAAATGATCCCTTGAGGATCTGTTTTCAGATCACACAAGCTTTCTTCTTTAGACAGAGTAGGAAAAGTGATTTAGTCTGTGTGAGAAACCAGATGGCAGAAATGCTTCAGGCAATCAGAAATAGCTGCACTTTTAAGCCTTAAAGGAAATTCAGTCATTTGGCCACAGTCCTCAAAGTCACAAATTGGACAATCTTCGAAGCTGCAATAGCATTAAGGATGCACCCTAAGGGAGAGTCCCTTTACAATAATAGAGGTCACATTTTGCTTTCTTGATTGGGAAAAGCCTGACAGCACTTCAGTGTCCCCAAGGTCCAATATATCAGTCTCCAGACACCTCAGCTCTCAACCCATACTTGGATACCAGGATTTCAACAGTTTGAGTAAGTGCACTGGAAAAAGAATGAAGAAGAGATAATTACAAAATAGGGCTGGGGAACAAGGGGGATTCCTGCTGTAATATTCTGGAATGTAATGAGAGCAATCACAGTCAGTACAATAAGTTGGGTTTCCCCAGTCCACAAGAAATGTGCAGAAATGAGAAGCCCGCTTAAGTGCATCTATTTTGAACCAACTCTTTTGGACCACAAAAACGTTTCTCCTTTATAAGAAGCAGGTGTAACTCACGCAAGCTACTTAACCCTAAAATAATGGGTGGCTTACCATCCTGGTCGAATAACCCTGTATTTTCCAGGGATGGAGAGGTCAACCACAGTTGAGCCTAGACGACACTCAGGACTAAGGGCATCTCCAGTTGGCCCCCCATCGATGACCAGTGAAAGGTGAGGCCAAAGCTCTTGGAATTCCTATAGAAAAGATACATAAGAAATTAGCTCCTAGAACCTGCTTAGTGCACTTCACAAGCAATATTGTGAGGAAAGGTGTGTGTGTGGGTGGGGGGGCAACAGCTAGAGAGGCATGGAAAAAGCAGGCAGGATTCTGGCCTAGGCAAAAGACTGAAACTGTGCCCACCCAATCCAAAAACAGAGAATGTCTGCTAAACATCCCCATTTATTGAGATGTGCAATAGTCCTCTGGGATAGCTGCTCCTGGCCCAGAGCAAGTTCTTTGGGACTTGAATGTTGTAGCACTCCCAGTACCAAGAATATTGTATTAATTATTGCTATATATACCATGATTATGGCATTGGCAGCGGTTCTTGTTTCCATAGCTGTTTACACATGCATTAAACCAATCAATCGATGAGCAAGAAGGGATAGAGCACAGTTGGCTTCAGTCCAGAAGCACAAGACTCAAGACTTGCAAGTTCCAGATAACATCAAGCCAACTTCTTACTCTTCTATAAAAGGGCTGCTTCCTTGAAACAGGCTCAGAAAGAGCAGCTCCCACAGGCTCCGGTCGGTCAGGGCCAGGGCCGTTCTTACCGTGACGGTGAGGCTGCTCGCCCTGTCGCTGACGTTGGCGCTGGTTAAAGCCAGAGGCCCATCACAGACCCTGACCAGCTCCCGGACGAAGCGGTGGTTGGGGACGCGGACGCCCACCAGCTGCAGGAGGGGAAGAGAGAGGCTGAAGGGAGAAGCTCCGCTCCACCCCGCCCGGGGCCAACCGGCCAGCCCAGCAGCGCCGCCCGCCCGTCGCCCTCGCCTACCGGCGTGAAGGGGTTCAGGTCGGCGTTGAGGGCGTCCGAGCGCGGCAGCACCAGCGTCACGGGGCCGGGCAGGAGATCGCGCAGCAGCTCCTCGGGCACCGGCCCGCGGCAGTACCTGCGGGCGCAGAGGGCTCAGCAGCCTGGCCTCACCTGGCCTCCCCGCCCCTTCCCTCCCCGCCGCTCCCGGCCCGCGCACCTGTGCACCTGCTCGACGTCGCCCAGGCAGACGGCCAGCGGTTTACCAGCGGGCCGCCCCTTCAGCCGGTACAGGGCCTCGACGGCGGCGGAGTTCTGCGCCAGGCACGCCACGCCGTAGACCGTGTCGGTGGGCAGCGCCACCAGCCCGCCCTCGCGGAGAGCCGCCGCCGTCCGCGCCAGGGCCGCCTGGCCCGTGTCCCCGGCCAGGCAGACGCGCCGCTCGGCGCCCGCGCAGGGAGGGAGCGGCCGGCCCCGCGCCACCGGCCCCGCCAGCATGGCCCACAGTCCCCAGCGCCCCAAGCCGACCGGCATCCGCGGCTCTTCCGGCGACGGCTACGCACTTCCGGCGCGCCGCCCCCGTAAGGAGCAGGTGGAGAAGACTCAGGATATCCTGCTTCTCCCTGTTCAAGCAGAGGCAAAAGGGGTTCCAGCCTTAGTTGTTTCTGAGTCCAGGGGTGGGGAACCTTGGCTCTTTTATGACTTGTGGACTTCAACTCCCAGAATTCCTGAGCCAGCCATGCTGAGGGGGTTTTCAAGCTGAGCCATGCTGGCTCAGGAATTCTGGGAGTTGAAGTCCACGAGTCATAAAAGAGCCAAGGTTACCTACCCCTGGCTTAGTCCATTGTTTCTCCACCTCAGCAACTTTAAGACATGTGGACTTCAACTCCCAGAATTCCTGAGCCAGCCATGCTGAGGGGAAAGGGAGAGGTTTCCAAGCTGAGCGAGGCTGGCTCAGGAATTCTGGGAGTTGAAGTCCACAAGTAAAGAGGGGGCCATAGTTCCACCATGCTGGCTCAGGAATTCTGGGAGTTGAAGTCCACAAGTCATGAAAGCACCAAGGTGGCCTACCCCTGCCTTAGTCCATGTCAATGCTCCCCCTCTTGCTGACTGGAGGCCGACAGAACGGCCCCGCAGGCTTTCTGCCATCTAAGTGAATGGTATCGGAACTGACACATCTTTCCCCCAATAATTCATTTATTGAAGAAAGAAATCTTCCATAGGCACCACATTTAAATAAGCATTTAATATTTAATTGCTACAAGTATTGCCTTCCATTAAAAAAAATATTTTCCAATTCCTTGCAGATATTTCAAAGTACAATATTAATTTTATACAAACTGGAGCAGGTAGCAAACGCTATTTCACATTTTACATTCTTCAAAAATACAACTTTTTTTTTTTAAAATTCTTCTGGTGTTTTGGAAAGCTCTTCCTTTGGAAGTACTGTACCTTATAGTGAGCGTCTTCACATCACTCAATGCACAGACATTTGATCCCAGGTTTCAAAGTTAAACTAAATGTGCTTAAACACAATACAGGTACTCCTGAGAGAAACAGGTAACTTCAAATCCTCCCGCCATGTCCTGTGAGGTTGTGGAGTTTAGCCATAACAACACTGAGGCAAGGTTCCCACAACATGCGTTAAGCTGATCTTCCAATCACCCAATTCACAGGCCACCTCAAATCATACATTAATACAATGGGCTGATCAATTACCAAACTTCAGACTAACCACACTTCAGCAGTTGTGCATTGCAGTGGTTAAGTCTTTCATAACCTGGCTAAACCTTTCATGCAAACTCAGCCAGAATCTGATCATGAAGATTTAGATCACAGTCCAAAAGTGCAGGGGACCCAGGAAGGCACTTTCAAAAATTATCTGAGAACCTTTGGAGTCTCCAGGTTCCTTACTCTAGGAAGCAATCAATCAATCATTCTTTGTGGGAAAGTGCCTGCTGAAAAAAAAATAAACAAGGGTTTTCTCTCCCTCCATCTTGAGCCAGTTGATGGTGTTTTTCTGCCCAACAGGAAAAGGTGCATCTGAAACTTTCATGGTTGGAGCAATGGGAAATACCTATATCCTGGTATGCCTTAATCCTACATTGGACTAATCCAAAATTGAAAGAGAGGCTTAGACTGTTTTTTGTTTTTTTTTTATATTCAGTAGAGTCCCACATCTAGCTACACTCCAAATCCTGACTGTGGCTAGATAGAATGGTACTTTGCTTTCCCCCCATATAAACTAAGCCAGTATCTTAGTATTTGGAAAGAAATAACACTGCAAAATGAAAAAAAAAAAAAAACTTCAAATAACATATTTTGAAATAAGAACAACAATCGTTCTTCCCTGGACTATACTGGTGTAGACTGCATGTGGGAAGAAAAGCTAAAACACCCAAGTGATAAGGAAAATATAATGCATTTACTTGAAAGTGTCCACTGCATAGAAACTGGCCTTGGCCAGCGTGCACACACTATTGAAAACACAGTGTGGATAACATACCATTTCCACCCATTTTCACAAATACACACAGACACACCATACATAAATATATCCAGTTTCCTTGGCATTTTTCAGTGCAGAACAGACTCCAAAGCTTAGAAACAATAAACAATGCAGAAGTTGAAAAAGCAGCCCGCACCCGCAGGAAATATTGGCTAAAAACAGGAGATGCTATTTTTAGACTGTTGAAGTGAATGCAAAAGATATGATAGGAGAGTAGCATTTACTTCCTGGGCCAACAAACGCCCCAAACAAGATTTCCTGTCCTTTAATAGATGAGAACTTGCCAGTGTTACTGCCATCTCTTCCAAGATTAGCTGGTCTTTTGTTGGTACCTTGAAATTTCGGAACATCTGGCATCTTGGAAATAAGACAGGCAATGTAGCGGTGGGGCACTCAGAGAGCAGGAGCACGGTCTTCAGAACAGCTTCACAACCAATGAAGAGCAGCGGCTTCTTCCCTCCCTTGTGAGGAGCAGGACAGATCTGGGAAGGTCTCCGAGCAGTGACCAAAACTGGAAAGATTCTGATTTGACCAAGTCTATTCAGCTCAGGCCGCTAATGGAGGTTTTGCATAGACTGGACATTTGCTTAAAGATGCATAACTCAGAAAAGGGCATAGTGATGGTTTTGCACCCCTTCCCTCAATCCCACATAAACACACTTGTGCGCACGCACGCACAAATACACACATATAACCACACTCACAGAGTGCATGTGGACACTTCTAGCTAAATGTATTGCACTGAAGTTAAGTACTTTTTTTTTTTTTTTTTTGCACACCACATAACTTTTTTTTTACTCGGAACAAAAAGGAGGAAAATACCCAAGGACTGTGAACACTTATTTACAAATGACATTGCAGCCATCAGCTGAAAGAGAACTAAAGTGCATTTTAGAGGCCAGCGAGTTAAGTGTAACTAGATCAGCCCCAGTGAACTATACTCCTTCCCTAAAGTTAAAATAGCAGAAGCAACTGCCAGCGTGTACTAGACTCCAGAGCCAGTTTTTCTAAAACACAGTCATTTCCATGTTTGTGAACTACAATTTCAGAATTCCCCAGCCCGTGTAATCAGTGCTGAGAAGTCTGAGAGATGAAAGTCCGTATCTCAGAAATTGTCCACTTTCCCTGCTCTTAACGACTTGCTCCCACCCCTCAATACACAGCTGAGATGAAATCCCCGGGGACTCTTTACTCCCTGGAGTCTTGGTACAATTAAGTTACTCAATCCTAGGCCCATAAGCAAAGCCACAGAACGAGTTGGCTCCCAAAGTCACAGGGTGGGGGGCAACTTTTCCAACAGGCAGCATCAAGCAAAAGGAACACTCTTTTAACATGTGATCAAGATCCATGCAGGGACACGCTAGTCTAAACCCCACCCCAAATGAGAGTAGAGTAGCTCTGCAAAGTCAACAAGAAGCACCTTAACTACACAAGCCTCACAGGCACATGGGGAGATTCAGGAGGTTCTTGACTGTGTTTAACTTAGGAGGAAGCGGAGCATGAGAAATGCCCGTGGACTGCAGATACTCACAGAGGAACAGCAACCAGCAGCCGCCCAGTCCCTCTCCTGCAGCAGCGCTGGGAACCTGCAAGGGGCCTTGCAGTCACCTCCACTCCACAGCCAATGTCCCTGCTTCCTCCACCTTTGCTTTTTGGCCACCCTGCCTGCCTCTCAGCTTGAGAAAAAAGCTCTTGGGACAGGCATCCTAAGCAACGATCGCTTGTCCTAGGAACAAGAGGATTACTAGAAAAATCCAAGCACAGTGGATGTGACAAAATAAAAACATTGTACAAAACTTTAGAAAGGAGTCTTCCCAAAACCTTCCAGGCATTCTATGCTGGGATTTTACCCTGAGTAAGTTAAGAGAGAAAAGGCCCCTTTCCCCCCGTGGGGCAGGTCAGCTGTCTCACTGCACCCCAATTGTCCGCTGAAGGAAGGAGAGTCTGCTTTGCCCGACCAAGCTGGATTGCTCCCCGGTCTCCACTGGACCCACACCGAGACCCCTGAGCGCCCCTCTGAGCCCCCCTCAAGCCAGCCAATTGGAGAGAGAAACGTTTTCTAGGCAAGAGCTGCTCTGTGCCGAGATAGTCATTCTGATAAAAGCTGAACAGTGCAAATCCTTTTAGCCCCTGAATTCATGTAAACACCCAGGCAGTGCACTCGCTTGCCAAGGGCAGAAAGGGAAGATGAAAGAGCCAGCAGCCCTTGTGCTCATGTGCAAAGTCTGATCGTGATGCCCACCGCTTGCTTTCTATAGCTAGCAAACAAGACGAGGCCGCGAGGAGGGCAGCTCCACTCCTCTTTCCTTCCGCTGCTAGGGAGAGGTTGTTCCCCCCCCCCCGACAGTCTCCCTATTTATCACACCAACATTGACTTCTTTCCCCTCCCTACTTACAGGGGTCCTACCCCGAACGCCCTAGAAGCCTAGAAGTACTCCACCCCCCCCACCCTCCTTGAAAGCCAGGTGCAGCCCGCCTGCCCACCCGTCCTTCCCAAGTGACCGATTCCTAGGCTCACATTGAGCGGAGCCGGCGTGGCTGCGTCTCCTCTTGGGGGAAAAGGGGAATCCCGTCTCACACTCTCCGGGGCAGCTGGCCCTCCTCCATCTCCGCTGTTGCTTTCCAGGGCTTGGCTAAGGAAAGTTGCTGCCCAAGGCAAGTCCCTCCTCCCCGGTCAAGAGCGGCTCAAGGGGAACGAGAGGAGAGGCCATCTCCAGGCTCTGGAGGGAAAGGAAGCGGGAGGCCTCCATGGCACTTAGGGGCTGCTTTGGGGGGCCGGGCAGGTGTCCCGAGAGGGCGCTCGGCTGGCCAGCAGGAGGCAACGCGGACGAACAGCCAGCAACAGCGGCGGCAGCAGCAGCAGCGGAGGTCCTGGGCACCGTCCTGGGCAAGCCCTGTGGCTCCGGTGCCGGGGGGTTCCCCGAGGCCTTGGAGATGGGGGAGGGAGAGTCTTTGCTGCCCGCGGCTTTCTCCTTGCTCGCGTCTCGGCAGGCGCACTGGCACTGGCACACCTCTTCCTGCTTGATGATGATCACAGGCACGCTCAGGCCAATCTGCTGCACGGGACTCCCTGGAGGGAAAGCAAGCCGTCACTCCGTGGGGAGGCCCCCGCTGCTTCTCCTGAGAAGGGCCGCGAAGCCAGGCTCAGAGAAAAGGGCTCTTCCGGGAGGGCCATTTCCATGCCCGTCGCTGCCGCTGGCTAGCAACACCGCCTCCCTCTAGGTCAGGGGTAGGCAACCTTGGCTCTTTTATGACTCGTGGACTTCAACTCCCAGAATTCCTGAGCCAGCTAAGCTGGCTCAGGAATTCTGGGAGTTGAAGTCCACGAGTCATAAAAGAGCCACGGTTGACTACCCCTGCTCTAGGTAGCTCTTCTCGAGGCAGAAACGGCGTTATCCAGCATCAATGTCATGCTCGTGGACGTAAATGTCCTCTGTTGCAACCCACAACTTTGCTGCCCTCCTTAGGGAAGCCCTTTACGCCCCCCTCCCTCTCTCAAGAGTGCATGGTGGAGCCCCCCCCCTGTTTTGCATTCGTAAGGAGGACGCCCATCAGTCAATGGATTTCCCCCGGGAAGGAGATGCAGATAGCCCCAAATCACACGGCTGAAGACCAGAGCCCTGTGACCAAGCTCCCCCCTCCCTCCACCATCCTCCCTGCCACTCTCAGCAGCTTTTTTGGGGAGGGGGAGGGTCAAAGAATGTGGACGTCTGTCAATGGTGGCTTACCTGCGCTACCAGCTATAGGGAGAGCAGTTGTGAAGAAGACCTTCTCTACAACAGGAGCCTGTGGCTTGGAAAGAAAAGTAGGGGAAGGGGGGGGTCAAGCCTGTGAAGAGAAAGAGGTTGCGGCTCCCCACAGTAGTACAGAGACCGTTGCAGAATACTGGGGACCCGATTTTGCAACCTTGCACAGCTCTGACAACACCGCCCCCCCCCCCAAGCCTCTGGGACTTACCATTTGCTCTTGGCTCTGCAGCGTCCCGGTGGCGCCATTTAAAATCCACTGGAGGTTTTGTTCTCCCATGATGATGCCGGACTGAAAAATGGCTGGGTTTTGGGAGGGGGCGATGGTAACCCTGGGACTGCTGGGCAGTGCAGGGTTTCCTCCCACGGGCGCAGTCTGAACTCTGCCGGGCAGGACCTCAGGGGCACCCGCTGCTGGCCCAGGGGGGACCTCCGAGACCCCAGGAAGCCCGGCCCCCGCGGGCTGCGCAGAGCGCTGAAGCTGGTGCAGGAAGCCTTGGGGATTGGCTGCCAAAAGTGTGCTGTTCGAAGGAGGCACTTCTGGAGGCTGCAGGAGACCGGCAGGGGTGCTGTACGCCGCTGGCTGAGCCCCCGCAGAGGCAGGAGGCAGTGCTTGGGGGGAAGGCTCAGGGATGCCAAGCTGGAGAACAAGCGGCAGAGATAAGGGCACAGTCTCTCCTGGTGCTGGCTGGGCTGCTGGAGCTGGCTTGATATCACCACCAAAATCTCCCATCAAGGCATCTGTCAAACAAGCACAGGGAGCATCAAATCCATCTGTAGCCTGAGGCCTGCCCTAGCGGGTGCTTTCTGATGGAGCCCAGGAGAGCCACAGCTGGACGCTCACACAGCTGCAGGGGAAAGATGCCCCCCTCTTAAATTTTGCCCTGCTTCCGTCCGAGATCACACGCTACTGTGCTACACTGCTCTGGTTAAGGGAGGCATGGATATGACCCACATCAGTTGGCCTGGGGCAACATTTTCCTTCCAGGTAGTCCAGCCCAGAGATTCCTCGCTGTTCCCAGAGAACGGTTTCCTTCATCAGAGCATTAGATGCACAGAAGACCCAGCACGTGGGACCTTTTCTTTTTATTCTCAAGTGCCGTTTCTCTTTACTGCACTGGGCTCTGAGGGGCTGCCAGGTCAGCTGTTCTTTAGCCCCGGACATTCTGCTCCGATCTGAGGATCACTGCTAACAGGGTACTGCCAAGGGAACATGTACCTGTGTGCTGAGAGTCTTCCTGATTTGGGGGAGGCTCCGGGCTCTGGAACATGGACTCGAAGATGCTTGCTGGTGAGATTGTACTCAGGTCTTGTCCATGTGCCTACAGAAAGGAAACCGTCGTAAGGGATCCCAGTTCAGGGATCTGGTGCCCAAGCTCGGGGCAGGCACTAACTCTAGACCCAGGAAAGACAACATAGAGCAGGCTGCTTGCAGTACTCTGCTGGAGCAATCCAATACGCCAGCTTGCTTTCTGCAGCATGATAGACATGTATCATTGACTGGCGAGCACAGGTCCTCCTCCAAAGAGATGGCAAGAGGCTACTTATGTACCAAACACCCTCTACTTGGGCTATTATAACCAAAGGCAAGAGATGCTTACTGGATCTGAATTATCCCGCAGTTCTGAATCTGTGGACATAAGGCTTAAGTCGCTCAGGCAGAATGAGTGGTTTGTATCCTGCAGAAGAGGAGAGGGAGCCCGAATTAAGCGAAGGAGCATTCAGAACAGAGCAGGGGAACTGAGTGCCACCTGCCTCGTTCTGGTCAATCACATCCAACACAGCCCAGAAGGCCAAAATCCCCTAAAACCCCAAATCACAGCCGTAAGCGTGGTTCCCATCTCGAACGTCACACTTTTTCAACAGCATCAGACCTTCACTTCAGAATACGCAGTGATCCACGCTGACCCAAGATTCTTCTGGCTTTTGTAAACACACAAGGGATTGCTCAGCTGAGAGGGTTTGGAGCAGAAGAGAGCTACAGAAAACAGCACGAGTGAGGAACTGCCCATGGGCGCTGCAGTGACTCACCCAAACTCCAAGGAAGGAGCCGGCAACTTTAGCAATGGCCAAATCAAAAGAAGAGCCACGGAGAGAGAGAAGATTGGCAAGTCAAAGTAGGAGGGATTTGACTCCCTTATTTTAACCCGCAGCAGGAATTCCAGATTATACACAAATAAAACAATTATTTATTAAACTTGTACATCACCCAACTCTCAATGACTGAGCAGCTCAAAACAATGGAAGAAGTTAAAATATTTATTTGAACTTATGTGCTCCTCTAACGGTATGAGGGAAAGACCTTGGGGGATGGTGTGAAGAGAAGTTGCCTAAGGAAGAGCCTTCCAGTAAGAGTGTGCGTAGCCCACAACTGCAGATTGGGCAGAACAAGAGGCTCAGAATCTGTTTGATAAAGCAGATTGGGGAACCACTGCTTCTGCACATTTTCAACTGTGGCATCCCCTGTCCACGTGCTTTGTCTCATGTGTTGGTAGAAATCGACGAGTCTTCCATGATTGGCATTTGAAATTGGCATTATTTGCAAATATTTTATAAATACTGTTTAAACTGCAGTAGCTCCAAAGGCAGGCAGTCAAAAAAGAAGAATTCTGAGCACCACACATTCCAACCAAAAACTAGGATTGGTTGAAAAGCCAGAATCAGGATGAACCCTGGAGAATTGTATAAAGACACGGTATTTGATATTTGTAAAGCAAAGGATATGCTAAAGAAAAATTTACAATATAAAGCTACCAATAACACAGCTGCAACTGGAGCAAGAAAACATGAGAATGGTGCAGGGCAATTGAGGCAAGAAAATAGGAGAACGGTGCAAACAAGAGCTCTCAACAAAGCAGTGATGAAATTATAAACAGGCAGAAATATCAACAAAGACTTGGGTATTTATACTAATAGATCGCACAGAGTAATACAAGTCATATTTAGCAAATTGTGTTAGCAAAGAGTGCTGAAAGACCTAATTCAACCCTTTGCCACCTATATATTGTAATTCAGAGGCAGGATGGCTTATATAGTGGATTCTTCAGGACTGAATCGTTAATAAATGTGCCAGAAGTCAGAAAGTGGTATCAAGAGTAGGTGCTGAAGATGTCCCTTGAAAACATGGAGCCTGCTGACGGTGTCCCCACTCATTCTTTGGGGAAAACGCATTCAAAAGCTCTACAACTTAAGTGCGTAGCTTTGCCCGCTAAAATCAGTCACCAATCCTATGAACCAGAGGATGGTTTTGTTAAATAAAACATTTTGGACGAAGTAATGGTTGGGCGGATGGATAATCTGAACAAGAAACAGACAACGTATGTTACAAAGCCTTAAGATACTTCTGCTCAGTCAGAAATCTTCAACTTTGCCATAGTTGGAAAGCAATCAAAAGTCCAATGTGGGCAAATGGCCGGGGGGGGGGGGGACTGCTTTGTGATGGAAGAATTGCAGTTTGAAGGAATGGAAAAAGGACAACCATTGGATAAAAAATAAAACTGACTTGGCTTCTCAGATAAAAGTGTGTTTGTTGTGGTAAAAAAAAAAATCACATTTGTCATTTAATGAATAAGTGGCTTTATAGAAATCCCATCCTCCTCAACTGGTCCGTTCAATCAAAGTTTTACTGTACAAGTAGCTCTTGACTTACGACCCGTCGCTTAATGACTGTTCAAAATTACGACTGGCCCAGAACGGGTGCTTTACAGCCCCTAAAGCACCTGGTTGTTGCAAAATGTCACACACACCCAGATCACATGACCACATTTTGGGTGCTTGGTAACTGGCTCATCTTTGCAACCAGTTGCAGAGTCCCCTGGTCACTGTGCTATTTCTGGCAAAAAAAGGTCCATTCAGAAGAATGACTTCACACTTACGATTGCAGCATTTGGTTAACAATGGTGGACTTGCTTAATAACTGCAGTGATTTATTTAATGACCACTGCAAAAAAATGTTGTAAAACCGGGTCCATTCTCCTGTGTGCCTTGAATAACGACCGTAACCAGAATTTCCAGGAAATCCAGTCCCAAATGCAGTCTAAAGTCAAGGATTACCTATACTGATCTTTTAAGTTTTTATATGATCCAAAATCCTAGTATCAGAAATAAATATTACTGTACCGCAGTACTGCTGAGATCTAATTATCAACCTGTTTTGGAGGCAAGAGTATTGCTTGATACCCATAGTTGCCTTGTGAAATTTCAGCTGCAAAGATTGCAGGAGCTGAACTTCTAAGAAAAGTTTAGTTGCTGATGCTGTTACTCATGAAGCACACCAAGGTTTAATGAAAGAGCTAAAACACCCACCTCGGAGAGGTTGTTGTTGGAGAATAAAGTGTACGAGGATCCTTTTTCGTGTCCTTTCATGTGACTTTTGAGGCTATACTGCGTGCTAAAGGCCTTTTCACACCCATTGCTGGGACAAAAGAAAGGTCTCTCGCCTACAGTGGAAGAAATCAACAGACGTATCAATCAAATCAGAGGTCCACCCGTCAATCTCTGGATTCCAGCAGATCTACAATTTTGAATACTCACAACAGACTTATTTCTAAATTCACTGCAGAGGATGAGAACTAGGCTCTTAGTAAGCAGAATCCTAATGTAGCAAATTATGAAAGTTATCAAAACAAGTAGGCTCCATCAGTGTTAAACATGTTTACTTTCTTCAGTTGTTGTGAAAGGATTCAGGGGTCAGAAGAGCCCCAGATCTTACCAGTGTGTGTCCTGACGTGTGTCTTCAGATGATGACTAACTGCGAAGGCTTTCCCACAGCCATCATGGTCACATCTATGGGAGAAAGCAGGGAGGCTTACAGCCATTGACCTTTACAACCTTGCAGTGTGCCAGCTTCAACTCCTTTCAGGCACGCTGGCTTTATAAGAGCCCTTGTGACGGTGGTTGCCAAGCTAAGTAAGAATAATATACGTGATATGGCTGCAAAAAGGCAAATCAAAAGGAATAAAAAGGCAAAGGTGTCCCCAGGGGTTTTACCCCACAAGCCGTGGCCGACTTTAGGGGGTAGCGCTCATCTTTGTTTTTTTTAAGCCAAAGAGCCAGCATTGTCTGAAGATATTTCTGTGGTGTGGCCAGCAGCGCAGAGAAAAGGAAGACTGTTTCAACACTAAGAAAGGTCCACTTTCCTCTCCTCAGGTCCTATACAGAATGCTGGAAGAAGCTTAGAAAAGGGTGGCGTAGATGAAACCCACAAAGACATCAAAGAAGCTTTTAGCTTTGAAAAGAGAAGATTGGGGGATATAAGAGAATTCAAATACTTATATTCTCTATTGCGGTGGTGGCGAGAGATGGCACTCGGAGCCCTCTCTGTGGGCACGCATGCCGTTGCCCCAGCCCCGCCTCCCTGCAACCCCCTCCTCACCAGCAGCCTGCCCGGAGGAGGCTCCCCCAGGCACAGCCCATAAGAGCAGCGCAGCCAAGTACATGGCAGCTGGGAAGCAGGGGCAAGACTCCACCCTCACGCCCCATCACGTGCAGATGATGCTGCGGGGTGCGGGCAGAGGGCGTGGCCGCCATGGCACTGCAAGGCTGCCTGGGCGATCTGTGGTGAGTGGCCCTGCAGGTGGGCAGAGTGGGGCCGGGCCAGGGGGCGGGCTGGTTTTTGGGCACTCGGTCTCTAAAAGGTTCGCCATCACTGCTCTATTGTTTCAGAGAATAGACATGGACTAACAAATATAAGCTGCAGGAAGGCGGTTTCCAGTTAAGTATTTTAATAAGAAGAACAGTTTTACAATGGTGGTGGAGAGGTAGTGAAGGAATTCTGCCTTTCCTTCAGGAACGCAAGTGGCTTAGATGGCAATTTTTCTTGACATCCCCATGAGGTGCCTCTGAGCTTCTACAGGAAGGGGCATTTTTGCATCAGGCTGATCTTCTCCAGCTGAACAATTAAGAGAGCTAAACCTAGTTGTTTTTCTACTACAAACTAGTCTAATGTTGAGTGGCACTGAACAAATGAAGCTGTGCACTCTGCCAGATAATTGAACATTGGCCAGAGATGTACACACTGGAAATGTGTCTGGGAATTTATACATGAATTATAGGCCTCAGTGAATACACTGCTTCCAAGAGGTTGCAGCAGACATTATGGTACACTGCCTGTTTAAAAGCCAGGCAAAGGTCCCAGGATACAATGCAATTCATGCAGCAACCAGACAACTTACCTGAATGGCTTCTCTCCAGTGTGAGTCCGAATGTGTTTCCGCAGGTCGCTGAGGGTTGTAAAGTACTTGCTGCAACCTTCTGATTCACAGTTAAATGTTTTCCCCGTGTGAAGCCTCTGATGGGCTTTTAACCTAAAGAAGAAGGGGGTTGGAGAATGTCTCTTCTGATCCAAGACACGCCCTGCAGTGAAAGAGCAAGGCCCCTGATACGATTACAGATTTGGGCCAAGGTTCTGCACACTGAAAACACCCATCAAAGCCCACATTTTAGTGGAAGACATTGTGTGGGTGATGTACATCAGGCAAATAAATTCTGCAAGAGCCACAAGCATTGATGTGAGAGATCTAGGGAGTGGGCACAGGACAGGGTAAAATATATTTCACCGGGGACATTATCCAATTCAACCAGGAGTACCTGTTTCTCTCTCCCCGTGCATAAGCACTCATTTCTCCTGATGAATACGAGATTTTCAAAATGCATCCTCTTACCTGTACAGTGTATTGAAGGCTTTTTCACAACCTTGAACATCACACTCAAAGGGCTTCTCCTTGGTGTGCACCCGGACATGGATTTTCAGGCTGTAGGATGTCAGAAAGGCCTTCCCACAACCCTCCTGATTGCACACAAAGGTGTACTCCCCACGGTGGGTCTTCTGGTGGGTGCGCAGGTTGCCTGCAGTGCTGTAGGTACGAGGGCAGCCCTCAAATGTGCACTGGTAGCGCTTCACCTGTCAGACAAACAACCATCATTCGAATCAATGTTGGCCTAATCCGTGTCACAGAGCTACTGTTTTGAGTTCAGGAGGCAGCAAAAGCAGCGGAGAGAATGGCTGCAGTCTCTATGATATCTCCTGAAGTCACATTTTTTCAGCCTGTGTAGCTACCATTCCATTGAGCAAATCCACACTGGATTTAAACACTGGGTTGACCCACAATACTCTGTTTGCGTGTTATGCAAATACAGCTGCTTGCTCTGAACAGAATAAGAAGAGGTCCTCCTTTGTTCACAGGCAGTCCCATGACCCTATTCTTTGCTTAGGGGGGCACAGTAAGGAGTTGTAGATTCAGAAGAGCAGGCAAGCAAAATTCAGCTAAATGTTCTATGCTAAAGTAGGCTCCCCAGCTTTCTATATCAATATTTTTCTTGTAGTTATTTTATGCAACTTTAAGAAATGTATAAAAGATCACTTCCCTTGAGAGCCTATCCTAAATGTCTCTAGCGAATGCAACTTACATTTTAACAGCATCCATCATAAGCTGTGAAATAAAAATAGCCCATGCCACGGCACTATCACCAAAAGATTTACCACGTCTGATTCAAGTACATGCTGTGTCATCATACTGCATATGAATCATCATTTGCCCCTTATAAGTATATCTCAACCAGTTGCATAGTGAAAAGGAGACTCACTCCAGACTTCTTAGAAATTTTTTTTTTAAAGTCTACTTTTGGAGATGAACTTGACACCACTCTGATGATGAGGAAGGTCTACAGGGAACTATAACTAGGCTTTACTATACTCAATAAAAGTAGTTTGTTCATAGCCGAGATTGTAGTCCAAAGAATACATATACACAAATACATTCATTAAATATAGTTAAGGTTTCCTTGGGGAAAATCTCTATCAACAATGGACAAAGTCTATGTCCTCTACACACAGATTTCTCTGAAGAGGCTTTCCTTCAGGTTAGCAATCCACTACAATACACAGGTGGAGACTCACAAAGGTTTGCTGCATAGATATGAAGGATAGGCACGGCTCAGATATTGAGAGCATTTCAAGGAAGCTCCAAAATACAGCGAAAAACAACACTGGTACAGCAAAAGCCATCATCTGCAAAGAGCTTACAAAGGATCAAAGGGACCTCAGTGCTGGAAAGTTTCAGTTAGGAGAGCTGTGTACAAAATTTCCAAGGCATCAGATATACCATGGAACACAGTGAAGACAATTATCAACAAGTGGAGAAAATATGACACACTAGTGATATTGCCAAGATCTGGATGTCCCTCCAAAATTGATGGGAGAAAAAAAACCTGTTCCAAGAAGCTGCCAAGAGACTTCTAGCAACATTAAGGAGCTGCAGCAATTTCTGGCAAGTACTGATTGTTTACTACATGTGACAACAATCTCCTGTATTCTTCATACGCCTGGGCTATGAGGTAGGATGGCAAGACAGAAGCTTTTCTCTTTCAAAAACGAACAAACAAACAAACATCCAAGCCCAGCTACATTTTGCATTTCTGACAAAAGCATGTGGGCAAATGAATCTTTGATGAGACCAAGTTGGACGTTTTGCCATAATTTCAAAAAATATGTTTGGCACAAAACACTGTGCATCACCAAAAGTACATTATACCCACAGTGAAGCATGTT